CATCACTAAACTCCTGACATAACCATAATATAGGTTATGGAGAAAAAGTTGTAGAGCCAACTAAATATCATTGTGTAACCTCTTGACTTCAGATTAGCATGATATTGTATCTACTTACACCAGCCACCTAAAACCAACCAAACCAAGACTGTGAACATCAATGGAAGAGGAAAATGAAGTTTAAAGAAATTATGAAACAACTCTGGAATTCATACAGCTTTTGGTGACTATGTCACTCACTGTTATTAGCAAATAAATAGAGGTATATAGCAAATCTGATCACCCAGGCCTTCTAAAAACAGCTCTCACAAGTTACTGACTTCTATTTATTGATAGCATGTTGACATCACTTCTCTGCTGGTATTGCATTTTTATAGCTAATTAAAATGCACCTTCTCCCCAGTCTGCACATACCAAAACACGCCAAGATGGATGTACTTTCAGTGCTTTGTAATTGCTAGAATTATATATGAACTGCAGGATTTACTAGGACTCTAGCATAAACTAACCTGTATCCCAGAGGCAGACACAGACAGCGAAATTTGGCTTTGCTCAAAGCTGTGGAACATTTGGAGCCAAATAGTTGGTTAGTACATTACAGAGATAGGAAAAAGTCATGAAATTCACATGTGTTTTGAGATCCAAATTCCACTGTAATATTGGCACCTGCAAAACTGTACTTGTCATTTGGGACTATCTCTACTGTACGCTTTTCTTCTTGAAGGGAGGGAGAAATGTATATCCTGTCCTTTTACCCAGTTGTTCACCCTGGCTCTAACAGCATGAAAGGACTCAAAATCTATAAGATTTAACCAGTTAGATATTCTTTTGACCCAGATGAGAAAACAGTTGGCATCGAGCTGTTGAAGCTGGCACCTAGGCCACCCGCCTCTGCAATATTTGGTGCAGTTACCCTGTTGGGGGTAGAACAGGCAATAACAGCAGCTGTTTCTACTTGGCTAATATGCACCAGTAATCTCTCCCAGGGGTAAGGAGTCAACATAAATAGAGAAATCTTTAGAAAAAGGGGGATGCAATCAGGTCCTTTGCAAACTTACTTAACCTGGCATCAGCAAGCAGCGCATCTGAAAATCCAGCTTGAAAGCTTCAGAAGTAGGGATGCAAGATTGAAACGAGCGCAATGGTTTTAAGTAAAGAAAAACTTTTGGAATACGCTAATTGCATCAAGTCTCTGGCAGGTTTTGAAAAATCTGATTCACCAAGAACTCTGAACTGTAGCATTTCCTTTGTTTTCCAAAAGAGAATTCTTAATCTGTTTAGGCATCCATTGCAGACTTTCTTCCATCCACAGAAATCCCTCCCATCTGCTCTAGCATCATTCTTTTACTTAATTGACTTATTTTCTCTACATACTGATGTGACTGAAATAATTTGATCTGCTTTCCTTTGCTTCTGACCTCACTGTTACGTTTGTACCCATGTGAAGCTTGTAACTGTGATCAACAATGCCAGTCCCCTTTGCTATTAAAAGTCAATATGCTCTGGTCAGAATGATCAATATTCTAGCAGAAGAATCTGAAACACCTTGGAGGTCTTTCAGAGGAGAAACACTTTTTTTTTTTTCCCCCAGATGCCTTCATTAGATCAGTCTTATAAAGCATTCAGAAGAATGAGCAATATACTTACTTGTATTTCATAACTTTATACTTTTTTTTCACTTGGGAATGAGATGGAAAAAAGCCTAAGAGTAAAACTGTAAAAGTGCCTCAGAGTATGTACATGCAGCAGAATATGATACAAAGATTTTCTAAACCAATATCTACTTGCACTGACCTAGCTAGGTAACCACTAGTTTCAGGGTAGACTCAGTTTGTGGGAAATCTGGCTGTCTACAAGGTTTTCTGTTGCATAGTATTGAAATGCTCACAGAAATGAAGATGTAAGTCTGAATTCTTAAATATTGCATTTAGGAGCCTGAGGGCATGTCTAAAATAGATTCAGAGTTTATTATTAGCATTTCATTTTTACAGATGACATAGAAGAAAAGGGAAGAGGTTGCAAGAAAATTTTCTTCTGCAGGTTCAGTGATGGGATTTACAAAAGCAGTTAGGTGCCTAAAGGTGCAAAGAGGTGTCTAGGGGGACTTCCAAAAGCAGCTCAGCGAGTTATCTCTATCTCTATAAGATGGACCCCAATTAGTTGCAGATGGCCACCAAAAAGGAAAAGGGATGAAGTGTTTTGCGTTTTAACAAATAGATTCTGCTTCTGGGCTAGGAAAGGTTTTGTTTTTCTGAGTGAATTTTCCAGCTGTAGCTCTGACTCAAGTTACTCTGGCTCAGTGCTCCGCTGTCTCAGTATGGCACCACACAGCGATAGTAAATACCGAACCAGTGAGTGGCAGTCTCCATGGAGGGATTATTTACCCAGTGATATGATGTGTGTCGTCCCACGGTGATGCCACCACGTCATTTCCTTACTGCTTTCCCTATCACCAGCTTCCCCTGGGGAGACGGGATGATGCGCTCTGACGTGTCGGCAGTTCATCTTAAAGAGGGAGCTTTTAATTAGGTGCTACCAGGCAAATGGGGCTACTGCCTATCATACAAACTATCACTGCAGATATTTTTTTCCTGGGAATGTTATGTATTAGGAAGCACTGAGAAAATTACACTTACTGAAAGAAGTCATAAGAGTCTAATTACAGTGATTTTTATAGAGAGAGTTAAAGGATGCGTGTCAAAAGGGACTGATGTATAATTATGATAATATCAGTAGCAACTCCTGTGCTATCTAATTACTTGAAATGGGTGGCATTGTGCAATCTTTATGAAAGCGAGCTACTTTGAAAACAAAATGATAAAACCTTAATATGAAATAAAAATAAAATTGAAAGGAAAGTAAAATGAATATATCGGTAGGAATAATAATCAAAGAGGCAGCACTCAATGTGCTGGAAAGACAGTACCAACAGAAACCCACCAACCATCTCCAACCCCAAATCTGTTCTACACATTTGACTCACACTGTGTCAGAAACTGAGATGCTGGGTGTGTTGCCTAAACTGGTAGTCAAAATCAAGACATATTGGCATGACAAGAAAAGAGTCATAAGAAGTGGAGGAAGAAAGGAATAAAGAGAGGAAAGATTAATAAAAAAGAGCATAAACCTAGTAATAAAAGTCTTAAACTCTACTGCAGTTTTGAGTGTCTCCACATATTGAGTTTGCTCTGGACCTTCTTGGATTCAGACACTCCGACATATTTGAGGACCGAGGTCTTTCTGCTTCGGTTTCATGCTCGCTGCATTACACTGAGAAAACTGTCAGCAATACTTGATATAAATAAAATATGAAAGTTATTACTTTATTTTAATATACATTTTGCTCATCACAGATGTAATTTAATTACACAGAACCTACACCTACTATCACGTAATGCCATCTGTTGACAAACGACCTGGACACTGGAAAAATCTAATTTTTCCATTCATTAGAAATGAAAATCCTAGCATGTTCATGCGCAAGCCCACAGACCTGCTGGTAGGTCCATGCTCCTAATTATGGTGTAGTCTAGAAAAACCAACCTTTATTTGAACAGTGGCATCAACAAATTGTCAGTTATTAGTGGTTTCCAGATTTCTGTGGCCACCACGGGCAGACACCAAAACTTTCCTGGACTTTCATGAATACTGCATTATCATCAGTCTTGTAATGGAAAATAAGACTGAGTAAAAGGTTTAATATTATTCTATTTGCTACCTGCAGCTCATTTACTCCATGGACTGCAGTTTAGATCACTTTTTTAAGCTCTCATCATCTCATTTAATAGCAAAGACACAATCTCATTTATAAGCTAAGTTTACAAATCTTTTCTAAAATTTTAAAATAAGAAAAATAGAGTGGCAGTTGGCTAGAATCCCTCATTTACTGCAAGTTTGGTCAATACCTTTCTCTGTGTACTGATTTCAGGGAGCTACTTTTTGTCTTATGCTCACTTAAGCCATCTGTTCCCGTGAGATCATACAGAATGAAAGGATCTGCCTTAACTGTCCATGTCTTTTCAAATTCATTATATTAATTCCTCATTTAATCCAATCTTGTCTTCTTTTGGTACAAGAAAAAAAAAAAAAAAAAAGAAATACTTTCCTAACATCTGAGTTTTTAAATTGCTGTGCCTTTTTCTTAGAGAAAACTGAACGTTTGGAACTGTTCCTCTGAGCCGTAACCTCACAACCACTTGCCACATACAGTGGTCTGTTCTGCCTTCTGTAATAGCTGCATACTGTGTAGTGTTCATTCAATAGCATTTAATAAAGATTGTGACTTAGTCCTCTGAGCATGACTAGTTCTTTTGAAGCAGTTCTACTGAAGTTCTTCCCTGTCAAAAAAAGTTTCCTCATACCTACATCCTAGCAGCTTCCTGGCCTCTGTGTCTGTGGTGACTCTGTTTTACATAGTGCTGCTTGACCAGTCCTGAAGTTCACTGACTTGTCTTAAATATCCAACTAAATTCCATTGAATTAATATTTTAAATCTCTGCTGAAGATTGCCTTTTGCTCCTTTGCATAGCATGTTGGCGTTGAATATCAAGGAGACAAAAGGAAATCTGAGTTTTTGAAGGTGATCATGGGTTTTACGAACAAATCTGTCTAGTTAGAATAAAAAATGTCATAACTAAATAATTTGAGAAAGAAGAATAAAATGCTATTTCAACTTTGCAATCATTTTATATGTTATTTTGTTTATTTATGATGATTCAATGTAGGATCTGTTAAAAATCTTATCTGGTTTGCAAGGAGCATGGCTGAAATGATTATCAGGATTTCCATGCAAGGCTGTAAAGGTTTTTCCATTTGGGAATTTTACTTCATGAGATTAAGGTGTGACAAATAATATAAGGCTTATCATGAAACCTGTCATCTTCTGAAAGAAAGAAAGAACACGCGACACCCACCAACAAGAAATAAGCCAGCAAAATATCTGGTGACCGCACTGCTGCCCAGGCTGGCACAGCAGTCTCAACCACAGAAGGCTTTCTTACCTTCACTGCAAACTCTGTTTCTGTGGCTTTATGAACACATCTCTTGCACACTGAATAGGAGCCAATTCCTATGTCCTCCTTGATCTCATATCCATCTGTAAAGTGAATGTTGTTCCCATGTAACTGCTATAGGAAAAGGCAAAAGAAACAATCAGGACATGGGTATGTAAAAGCAAGGACTAGCCTTGTCTTAATGAAGTGTTTGATCTCATCTCCTTCACAAAACTTCCTTGTCCTTAGTGGTTTTTCGAAGTTCAGTTAAAAAAATCTGAAGCTCTTTAAGTAAAGACGCGTGTCCCCTCCCTTTTTACCTTTTTTTTTCAGTCTGTAGGACAGAGTTGTCCATGCAGAAGTAATGCAAAAAAAGCAGTGATTTTCTAAACTAGTCAGGGAATGCAGACAATCACCTCCTATAAGAGATTCACAGGAAACTGTGGGCACAAATCCCTTGACAAACCCACATAACTTGACAGTATACACTTATTTCTAATTATTGAGGGCCCAGATAACTTATAAACCACTAATAGCTTCACAGGCTTCAAAACAGATACCCCACATATGGGGTGTGCCTCCAGATCAGTGGAGGTCTTGTCCAGAACAAGTTTAACTATGATTTCTGTGTGACAGAGAAGTTGCTATTTTGAGGCAACCTAACTTAAGAAAATTTATTACCCTGAAAATAGAAAAATAATTTAAATTTTCTAATTTTGTTTATCAAAGGGTATAAAATTAACTGTGGCATCACTAGTTCATATGCCCTTTGGAAAACATTTGGACAGACAGATTGGTTAGGTGGTGAAATCCAAATCTGAGGCCTTGCTACAAATTCCATCCTAGGACTCGAGAAATGACCAGCAACTCTCAAAATCCTCTAGGATCCTCTGTCTAGAAAATGTATCCTTGCTAGCAAAGTCTACACAGAGTCTTCTAAATGATAAAACATGCATGTGTTCCATTCAATACATTTTTACAAAGCAAACCCCAGGAATATATATAAAATTTCTGCAATGTAATTTCTTGGGTATCATTTCACCTACCATTGCATAAGAGAATCTTTAAGAATATGACATATTCTGCTGTAATGTACTCGAATAGACAAGAAAACTATGAAAACCTATGAAAATCAGAGTCAGGGGCTCTCCCCTTGAGGCACGCATACCTCTTGCTGTGGGTAAGAGAGGAACTTTTGCCTTGTAGGAAATTTTGCTGCATTTTTGAGCATCCCAGTTCTCCCTCCCAATTCACCGTCCCTCTGATGTATTAAGCTTTTCGTAGCACTTTTTTTCTGGTTTAAAGTACAATAATCGGAGAGCATGTCGTAGGGGAATGGCAGCAAAGAACCAAGTGTTGGGCAAGCGTCCTTCCCCTGTCAAGCCGCTCTGGGTTATGCGAGCACACCCAGGCTCTTGTGCAATAGCAACAGGAACATGGTGGCCTCTTACACCCAGGAGCTCGGGCTCTGCGTCTGTGGGAGCCTAAGGCAGTTGTTCATTAAGCCCCTTTGCCAACACAGACTGTATCATATAATCCGAGACAAAAATGTTGAGAATGACATGCATTCACAGAAAAAAGAACACTCCATTACCTGCCCTCTATGCGCAACCGGAATAGTGTTTCAGGTATTCAGAAGTACTTTCATTTCAGTTGCGATAAGGTGCAATTCCTATTTCCTTTGTAAAGGCTGTGGAGAACGTGAACTTAAAAGCCTTTGGGAAAAAATTCTCATTTTCCACCTCCTACATGCTGCATGTAAACACCTCCTACCTACACTGGGTAGCTGTGAAATATCAGTGAGAATGCTGAGGCAGTTAAAATACACTATGCACATATGTATCTGCCCATCAAATGTGAAGGGTAACATCAGCATCAGTACCTGCACAATTGGATGGACGGTGATTTTGTGCACATCCTGCTGCGCAGGCTCCTGCACCAAGTTAGAAGCAACGAAACTGAACCCTCTGAAAAGATGATGAGCATTGGCACTTGGAGGAACACCTGGGGAATCTGTAGGAGAAGGAAGAAAATGGCCTCATGAGCTGCACAAAAGATCACAAAGTAATAGCACAGCACCTGGAACAGACAAAGTCACCCCTGCCACTCAACAGCAGATCCTGCTAAACTGGCACACACATGGGATTATAATCCACCTCCATATCAAGGCTTTGGTGTGCCTCCTCCATCCCGTTCCTCTGGACCTGAACAGTGCAGGGATATCGTTTGCAAGGATGTCTCCTCCTAGATACAGAGGGTTTTTTCCCGGTGCGTGTTCATTCTTTGGCAAAGCGCTGCCTGTGCCAGGATTCTGCCCAGACAGAGGAGGCAGAGGACGGCGAGACTAGGAGAAAGGCAGATGGCTCAAGGCAGGGCACCCCTTTGGCTTAGCACAGGTTCTCCAGGGAGCGGAAAAAAGTTGCAAGCTGCTGTATCTGTCCTTCGCAGCACACCTTGACTACAGAAATTGCAAACGCTAAAGTGCTTTCTGGGTAATGTGGTATGTTGTGTGGGTCAGGAGAATGTAGAGAAGGCAGGACCTGAAGCAAGTGTAAAAGTGTGATGCTCCACTAATGGTTTGTGGCCTCATAAGGATCTTTGCAGAGCAGCTTTAGGAGCTGCAACTTACTCCAGGGAAGACGCTTGTTGGCTTGTCCTCAGCTGAACAAAATGACTAGGAGCGTTTTAACTAAATTTCGTGGACTTTTTCTCCGCGTTCCTTCCCCTGACATGGCAAATCCAGGGGAGGAATGGGTGGAGATTAAAGAGTCCTGAGTGATTCTACGTTTGGAATTAAATCACTAGAGAACAGTTCCTGGTACCTACACCGCTGTTCAGTGAGAGAAACAGCCTGCCGAACTGAGAAGAGCTGCACTTCACTTAGAATTCTGAAATGCTTTAAAGAGATCTTTGTCCCCAGTATATGTTTTGTCCCAGGTATTTTCATAAGCAAGAAAGTCGCATTCCAAACCACTCCTTGGTAGCTGAGTAGCTGGCTGGGTATTATAAAACCTATAGTACTAAAATTTTCTCACTTTTTATTTGTTCATTTTGTGGGATTTTTCCCCCTTCCCTTCACATTTCCTCCAGTGCAATGTCTGATTTACCATGGCAACATTACAAAGCTAAACTTCCTTTAGAAAGCTATCTCCTTGTAGGAGTATGAAAATACCCAGTTTCACTACAGTAAAGAAAATACATCCCCACTGGACATCGTAGCTGACTCACCTGCCTAGACCATCAGCACCACCCATTAGTGTGTAGGGCAATGGCATGGCAGACTGAGTATTGCTTGAGGTCCTGAAAATATGTGAAAATATAAGTATTGCCTTTTGTGGACATTCCCTGTATAAATGTACTGGTCAAATGAACAGAGGATCTGAAGCCAGAATATGGTAAAAACAAACTATCTGCTCAGAAATAAACAAAACTGAGGCTGCAGCTAATTCTGTATCTCATTACAAAGCCGCCTCAGCTTTGACAGGAGTCAGAAATAAGCACAGCAAGTCAGACTGCACTGCAAAGTACATGAATCTTGTCTTTTGGTAAAATGACGTGGGCTACTTGTTTATCTCAGTGTACTGGTGGGCACTCTCCTTGCAAATACATGGATGAATCACACTAGACCTCTTTGCATCACTGGGTACTTTTTACAATGGCATATATACAACAATGATTTTCCAAGAGGGATTAATTAAGAGGAAAGAATGTTTGCTTTAAAAAAGGAATGACAATAATTCAAATGTGAACACTCCAAAACTTCAGAAAAGCTGTGATCCAGCTCTAAAACACAAGTGCTAGGTCATCTCTATTTACAAATAACTGTTCCTTCATAATTCACTGCCAATCTCTTTGTCAAACACTGTAGAAGAACTACTGATTATTTGGTGTTCCCTATTAAATATTCATCACCAACAACTGATATGCCCATCATATGAATTATATGTTAAAACATCAGTGTTAAGTACAAAATTATGTTTAAATCATGTTAATTAACTGATAGCTATGAATTCTAAATTTTCCTAGTCTTGAGAAATCCAGAATCATTTAATACATCTGAATTAGACCCACTTGCAAACACCAATCTTGTATAATGGTTAGCTTTCTCCCCGTAAAAGTCATAACGCTTTGTCCCACTAGAGCATCTAACTTTACAGGATTTTGAAAGGCTTCATAAGTCTTAAGTAATTTACTTCATTATGCTTCAATGGGGTTTGCAAACATTGTTATCTTATTTGCAGTGGAGGAAATTTAGATAGTTGAGTTGCAATTTTACATATTTTTCCTCAGCAGTAAAGGCAGCCTAAGACATCCCTGCTGGTTACAGCATGCTGCTCCATCACTTACAACAGTACAACCATTTGTGGACTGAAATTTAAGTTGGATCACCAGAATGATCTTGGTTTGATCCTTGATCTAATCACCATTTATAACCTGGATCGCTTCAGTCTCCTGCTCCCTGGGAGGAGCTGATTCAGCACAAATGAGACGTGGGTCCACAGTGGTGGACTTCGGAAACAAGCGGCCAGAAAAAGCAACTCCAACTCAGACAAATCCCTGAGAAAAAGTGATATGAAAATACACCCATAGAGATGAACTGCCAGTGTCAGAAACTGTATCTTTGGCACACTTGGAGCTGAGGTTAGGAATCCACGCAAAGCTGTTTCAACCTTCAGGCTAAAGGAACTTTCTGAGATACAGCAAATTACTGGATTGACAAGTTACCGGATCCAAAACTTTGACATAAACCTGTTTCCAGGGAGCAGAACTCATTCATAAACACAGAGTGCAAACGGACGGTATGCATCTGTGCCCCCTCCTTGGTAATGTCTTTCTGACAGCTTCATTAAAATACAACCACTGCATCATCATCATCATGAAACAGGAATTATTATAGTGCTTTCTGGCTGGGTAGGTTCTCAGTAACAGTGTAAGTTTCTATGGGGCCTATGTCATGAGAGAAAAAAATCACAAAATAAAAAAGGTTCTTTTAGACCCCATTGGAATGGGGAAAGGAAGGAAGAATGAATTTACTCACTAAAAAGATGCATTATCCATGTGCCACCTTACTAACCTGTGGGGGTCCGAGATGTGAACTCTGGATCAAAATGAAAGGTGTCTTCTGGCCGTCCCACTGCGGGCTTGAAAGGTGGCTTGATTTCTTTCCTGTATAGTTTCTACAAGGAGAAGAACAGATCACAGTCAACAACAATCTGTACACCTTCCGCATCTGCACTTTGGCTCCCTGGCTTTGTGTAGGGTGTCCTCTCTCAGCTCTGTGCCATCCTTGCAGGACTGACAAGAAAGGTTGACGTATCCGTAGCTCTGGCTCCTGCTTGACTGGGTGGCCTAAAAGCTGTGCCCTGGATGGTCCCTGCTCTTTTTAGTTACTGGAATCCGTAATATAAACACAGATGTTTCTGGTAAAACTTCAGCCCACAGACTGGCACAATACTCCAGCTGGGGCATCTGGTCCAAAAAGCAGGACTGGAACGTGCAATGGTAACACCAGGAAGCTGTGCATGGGTGACCTCAGCATGCAGCAAGGGCAATCAGCACAAAGAACTGCTAGGAAGTGCTGGCTGGTTTAGCAGTTATTATTTGTCAAGAACTAGCAACATGTTTGACACCCCGCCAGACTGAGCTGAGCAACAGGCCCGGCTGCCTGGTGCTTACAACCTCAGCAAGGGACCCGTTAGTTTGGCATAGCTGGTAAAAGGGAAGGGGCTTGCAGCTGAGGGTTAGATGAAATTCCCATCAAAAGATGTTAGGAAGAAAGCACTGCAGGCGTGCGGGGAATCATGTTGAAGGCCTAAACGTGGTTTGAGCAGAGGAGCAAAACCAAGGAAAATCATAAAGGAGAGAGGAAGGTACATAACAGGTAAACACTACTAGGTGTGTGAGTGTGCTGGCGAGTGAGTGGGCACGTAGAGGATCACGTAAGGAACAGTCACCATAAATGCAAGCTAACACACTGCCTTTGTTACCAGGGACTTCGCAGCCTCTTTAATCATGCTTAGTGATCTTCAAGACACTGCTACACTGTGCTCCATTGCAAGCATTCATACACACACACCCTCTGGGATACGAACAAACCAAAGCCTACAGAGGTTAATGGAAAGAGTCCTACTGATTTCAGCGACCTTTGCATCAGCTCTGCTTGAAATGGCCGAAACCGAACACCATGCTGATGGCAGCACGGGGAACAGAGCTCCAGTTTGCCTCCCTGCCCCGTGTTTCGGTCCCTAGACTGCATTCCCTTTCTAGCAATGCTTTTGTTCTCAGGTTTCGAAGGTCTGAATTAGTTGCCACAGGCAGTGCCCAATAATTACCACGTCTGAGCATAAATATAACATTCCATCCAAACTCTCAAGTCATGATAAGAACTGGAGAGTTCAATTTTATGACTGTTTGTAATATGTATTTTCAGGTTAGCTCTTAAAACAACTTCATAATGAGCTGATTTTTCAAAATATTTAATGGAGATTAATACATGCTTGTCCAGCTCTTTGCGTGCAGGAAGATTCTTTTTAACTGGGGGTTTTGTGGTGAATTAATTTCTGTAATAGAAAGCATGTGGTCAAACCTAAGATATATACACATCAATATAATTTGAACTTGATTTTGCATAGATAAATAAAGGTTCTTGAGGCAGGACATTCTGTAGCATAGTATTATCATTAGCATAAAGCATATGTTTGTGGTTGAATTATGATTCCCTAGAAAAGTGGAATGGTGAAGCTGGAAATGACTCTGCAATAATTAATGGCCATTTCACCATAAAAAGTTCCTGCTTGCGTAAAACTGCTCCGTATCGTCTGAGAGAAAAAGAGATGAATAATTGCAGTGAGCCGCAATGGAAAGCCAGTCTTCCAAATAGTTAAAAGCCAATTGCAATCTTAGGCAGGAAGTGGCACTCATCAACTGAAAAGTATCAACCTAGTAATTAACATATAGCTTTTTCTGTCTGCACAGAACTTTAAAAGAGAACTCAGCACCCACAGAAGGCTTGTCTGTTCTAGGATTTCACCTTGAGAAAGCTATTTGCTTCCAGTTTCCCTTTATTTGTCTTAATTCACAACTGCAGTCCTACTGCAGAAAGCACTATGGTCACACACATGCTTCCTCCTGAAATTAAATGCACCCCTCATCCTGTGAGGTCCAAAAATTGGAACACGTTTTAGAGTCGTACATCATTCGGGAACTGCACTCTCTTTTGATTATCGTAACCATATTCTCCCTGGCCTCTTAATTCCTCCCCCCCATCTGAAGTTTCTTAAGTGCTTTTGGAGCTACATTTGTATTTTGAAACCCTAACCCACATCCTCCACTACTAGGGAGGGATTTAAGATTCATCATGAGTCACATGCCACCTAAAGATGTGTAATCACAAATTCGTTTGCTGGGAGGGGATGGAAACAAAGAAGTTGCTTGTGTGAGTGAAAGGCACCTCCTCTGAGCGCAACCCAGATGAATCCTTTTTCCATTTCCTTTTCCACTTGTGATAAAAATTATTTTGGGTGTTTCTGACTAGACAACTAGGAACAGCAAAAGGTAAACGACATAAAACATTTTTTCCCCCCAAGCTCTTGAATCGGGTAACTAAATGAAATTTTTGAGGAACGAGAACAAGCAGATCAGTGTCATCTATGGGCTTTCCCAGCCCACACTGGCTCCAGTTCTCCAAGTGAGCCACTACAACCAAAGCCAATTCATGAAGCACACTAAACCACAGCCAGCCCAACACAGTTAAAAATGAAGGCTTGCTGCAGGCAGAATGCTTCTTCCTTTAAAAACCCGCATCCTGTAGACTGCAAAACACAACGTGACACAAGCTGATCTAAGAAAACAGTAAGAATCACAGCCATTGTTTTCTATGCACACAGAGAACAAAACTCTTGGAGAATGTGAGATCCTTCTGGATTTTCCAATAATATTCCTAATTTTAGATAAAATGTATTAACCTATTATCTCATTTGGGCTGATGACCTTGATCTCTTGCAACAGAAACTAACCAGAGTGACAAATGACATAGCAAGTTAAGTTTCAAATCTCGTCTTTGAATATTTCTATCAGGCTGTTACATAACTTCTGGTAAAGTTTAAACAGTTATCTACATCCCAAGTCATGGTAATCCTGGGTCTGCATGCAGAAGTCACTGGGAGTTCCACTACCTATTTTAATGGGAACAGGGTCCCAGTTGTCCCAGTTTAAATCCCAGTTTTCAAATCCAAATTATTGTTTTGGGACATCCATATAGGCATTCAAAGGAGACTTTGGATATGCTAGTGCTAACTGGAGCATTTAAATTTCAGGTTGGGTGTTATGTGTGTTATTTTGCATGGGTATAAGAAGCTGAAGATTTTTTTTTCTTCCACATTGCTTCCACATCTGTAAAGGAGAAATGTATTACTTAGCCCTTAATGTTTTATTGAGAATGTAATTTCTCTGTCTTTCCCAGTAAAGATTATCCCCCCACATCCCACCCCCATTTTTTTAAATTGGCCACAGCATTGATTTATCACAGAAAAATGTGACTGACAGGTATTGGGAATCACTGTGCATCACACATGGCTGTCAGATCCAGAGGCTGTGTGGAGGGAGTGCATAATCCACAGAATGAGGGGGATGAACTCCAAGGTGTGAAAGTACTGATTTAGTCACACCTGGCTACGTATTCGTGCTTCTGTCTACCTATCAACCTCTCATATCCATCTGAGACTTTACTAATCAGTACCTTCAGATTAATAAGTACCTACGAATTAACTAGAACACAGTTCTATAGCAGTTTGAGAAGCTATGAGGTTCTATCAACTTCCTTCCTGATTTGGGACAAAAAACTTTTTTTTTTCAAATAACTAATTTTCCCTTAGGTCTCAATGACCTTTTCTTAATGTATGTTGCCAGATCCCCAATATGAGCTTCATCTGAATGCCTCCTCAGCTGGGACTCAAGTAATACACCAGGGAGACTAGTAACAAAATGCTGTGACATGTGTCTGTCTCTTATTTATAAAGCAGTTAATTTTTCATCACCTTTAAAAAAATGTACTCCTAAAAAAATCCAGAGATGTAAACGCCCTGTACATGTGCCTGGCAAATATCAAGAAAAGGAAAATGGCTTAATTTGATTAAAAACTATTTAGTCATTTCCTCAACCAAGTTTCTTTGATGAAGAATCGAATTACTCCTTAGACACCTCCTAGAAATAGAAAGATGCTACCCTCCACAGTGACGCACTTGCAGTGTGAGAATAAACTCCCTTGATACATACACCTGCCATGGAAAATCCAATAAGCAGACAAAAGGATGAAGTACCTTCCGAAATGCTTATCCTTTCCTAGATTAATGACTCAGTGTTATTCCCTGCAAATGACAGAGAAGCTAGCAGGATTCAGACGTTGGGATCAATTTTTGCTGTTGGTAAAATCTGCAATTAAATAATTCACGTTTTCAGTTTTGTTTGATCTTTGATTAATATTGAAGGAAATAGAACTTGAGTCCACTCGCTTCCCACTCTTTCCCTCCGCTGTATTTGACAGTTCATTTTCTAGCATGTCATTTGCTCTAGTTCCAATTTAGCCTGTCATTGAAACGAAAACTACTGTTTATAGCCTACTTCTCCAACTGCAGTCTGCAAAAAGGGATTTCATTTTTCATTTTCAATGAAAAGCCAAAAATCCTTTATGCATGACCTGCAAAGAAGAAACAGTATTAAAAAAATCAGGAACCAGGTTGTGTTTTCTCAGAGCCAATGACTGAAATTATCTGAGGTCAACTCGGTTTGGGTCTGCTTGTCTGGGGGAGAACAGGGGTTGCAAGGGCAGTAAGCAGGTAAAGCTCAGAAGGAGCTGGACATTTAATCTCCTTCCTGTGAATCCCAGCCTTGATCATGAAAGACAGTCCATTCATTTAACAAAGGATCTATTGAATTTGTGTCACAGGGCCTACTAAATGCCTCAGAGCAGCAAGACTGGTATTTGCAGAAAGCTTCATCTACTTTTTATCCTGGGAAGTCGGAATTTAGGGTTTTGTTACTGGGTGACAATAGCTGTAAAACGAGACTGTTACAGAAATGAGCTCATGCCACAATTTAAGTTTGGGCATAAAAACTCTGCGTCAGGTTGTCCACAGTTCATTTAGTGCTACTTACACACCAGAAGTTAAACCTAGGGTGGCTGGAGATTTGTGCTGAGGAACGGCACCCTGGAACATGGGAATGGCACCTGGGGAAGGACAGGAGGAGGATGGTCCTTCTCTGGCCACACTCATGTTTTCCAGGATTGCACCTATTGCCTCTGCGTGCAGTGGTCATACATCATCAGCACTGCTGTGCTTGGCAGGACCATCTGCAGCATCGTAACAGGGGTCTTTTTTACACTGCGTATGTTGTTTCCACCATGTTCACTGCCTTCATCTGAACCAGACCCTATGTCTGGTTGCGTTTGATTGAAGACAGTGAAAGATGGGAATCAAGCAGGAAATGACTGCTCCGACAGGTAAACTCTTCAGCAATAGAAATGGTAACCAAGCCACAATCCAAAACCCGAGGGAAAAGCTTCTGTTTTGAATCTCTTTCTAAAATTAGCTGAAGCAACTTAGTGGTTTGTTCCTGGTTATCATATCAGTCTCGTAGGAAAAATCTTGCTTAAAAAAAGATCTGTTTCGCACTGCGTTTCTAGAAGACACTAACCCATTCTGACCCTTTGTGATAAGGGGGCTCCTGATGGACAGTCATTTTACTACAGTCGCTGAAAGTCTCTATACACTCATTCACAGCAGTCCCGTCTATCATCGCTGCCAAGGTAGTATAGAAGCTCTCCAAAAGACCTTGCCTCTTGCTCTCGGAGGTCTTTATATTACGAAGGTATAAAATAAATCAACATTCACGTCCTGCCTCAACAATGTTGTTCGCTGACTGCCTGCAAATTGACGTGAGCGATTCTGTATACGTGATGGGAGAACAAAATGAGGGCATCAGGGACTCTTTTCCTGCAACTGTACAGAGATCAGCGCTAAATATCTGTGCCTGATCCATTTCTGTTCTCTGACCCTGCTCTGTCTCTGTCCAGGGAGAACATGTTAACGGTTGGATCATCATCGTAAGGCAAAGTCCTGGCTTCAGCTCAGGGCCAGACTGGCTCACACCACTATGAAATGTGTACAATACTGCTGCTGTAACTAGATAAGCCTCCCAAGATCTCCATGAGTGATAGTAAAATTAGGATTAAATGTGCAAATATATTAGAAAGATGATAGCTGACCTGTGTAATAATGATCCGTCTGTCTCCAAGAGAGTGCAATAAGCATTAATTATGTTGGATTAAAATGGATCTTTACAGCTACATTTTACAGCAAAGTTAGAGGGCTAGATAAGACATCAAAGGGCAATTAAATCCACATGCTTCTCTAGCTCCAAGTAATGTTCAAGCATACCTAACCTCTTCATAGTAGGTATTTCCCTAACCCATCCGTAAGAACTTTTTCAGACAATGTACAATTTCCTTAGGACAGGCATGAAATTGTTCCCTAAAGAAGCGAGCTTGAAACAATCCCCAATCATCATGACAGAAGGTGGTCTTGAGGAGTCTCACAGTCCAGAACTGACTTTGATGAAAACCTTTCCAAGATGTAGAGCCTCATTTCTCTGTGATGAGTTACTGAGCTGCTCCACATGCAAACACAGAAGGAGATACTCTCACGCTGCTCCAGTGCTCCTTATTATGTTAAGATGTACGCACCTGACCTGTATTTTGATTGCAAAGCTGAAGACTGTGGAGATATCAGAGGAATACAGAAAATAATAATAATACAGAAGCCAAGTCTTTGGGATTCTCTATTTTTTTTTCACAATGTTTTCATAAATGTAAAGTCTTTATACAGAATCTCATGATTACTACAAAGCAGAAGAGGAAAGAGAATCTAGACTTCAGAATATATATAACGGGACTAAAAGTCAGCTGGACCATAAAGGAAAATCTCAAACTCCACTTTCATTGATCATCTCTTAACATGCCTGTGAGTCATGCCAACTCTTCAACATTTGATTCAAAATAGATGCATGAGTTTTTTGAAGACAGTTGATTCTGCGGGCCTTTCAAAGGCTACCTGGCTACCACAAAATGTGCTTTCACAGGGGAATTAGCTTTACTGTAAAGCCCTGGGTCGTGGTTTGAGAATGGTCCTGTCACATACATTCATGCTGTTTTACCAGAATTTACTGCGAGAACTGCATCAGTGACCTGTTACACTAGCATTCACGAGTGAATTCAGATCAAATATTAAATAGACATAACAATATCATAACACAGGTCAGATAAAATTAAACTAGAAAATTCTAGAGGATGTAGCATACAGGAGCTCTGATGCACTGACAGATGTCCTGATTAAGAACAAAAAGTGTTTGCCTCTAGGTTTGTCTAAAAATAAGTCAAGTTGAACAAATATGACGCTGAAAATGTTAGAAGGTTTAACCTGTAGCAAGTCTAAATTGAACAATTAGCTAATCTCTACGCCAGCTTTATGAGCTGTAGCTGATAGCAATAAAATAAATCTTTGTTTACCATTCTGTGAATCATGTCCGACATGTCCTATTTGAACCATGTTACATTTGATCAAATGTTTGCTGTTCCAATTTTGAGTGCTGATGTTAAATTAATGACTCACCTCAATAAGACATCAACCACTTGTAAGAGGAGTTGCTGTTTCCTGTTCTGGCTGGTTCATTTTGTATACTCAGTGATTGAAAATCACTCTTCTGAAAATCCATCTATGTTGCGCGTTTCTGTCGCAATATAGTGGGAGGGCCATATCCTGTCCTATGGTCACTTAGGCTAAAACTGACAAGAAGGGGTCACAAAGCTATCCTGTTGGAGGATTTATGATTCCCCCAGCATAAAGCAGCACAACCTGCTGTACCAGCTCTACCAATACCCAGCCAGTCCCAGTAGCACCATGCTGTGTTTGGGAAGAGGGTGCGCCTGGAGGTCTGGGAGCTCCTTGGAGCTACTGGCAACAGGTTTGTGTAAGAGCAGACCTGGGGCTGCTTGGAATAATTCCAAAAGAGAAAAGGATGCCTGGAGGTCCCTGATATTGGAAAGAACAAAACTAGCACTTAGTCTAGCTTGTCCGACCCAGTAAGAAAGGTCAAGTATTTCAATATGGAACATAAAAGCAGAAAGGGAGGGACCTGGAGCATCAGACAAATTCCCTCGGAGTATCTCTTTCAAGCCCAGTCCTTTGGATCTGTTTTCTTTTGCAATTGAAATATTACAGGTATTCTTTCATTTAAAGCTGCTCATTTTCACTCCAGTCCAGCTCCTACAATCAATGCATCATGTTTATTAGATCTGAATGTGGAAATTATTCTGTGGAACACTGCAAATAGCCTCAGGTAGTACCCTGATAAGCCAGACAATCAGACAAAACAGAATCAAGCGGTTAGAGAAAACTGGCAATGCAGAAAGGAGCTTTCTATTTCTTTCATTTGGGGGTATGTGAAGAAATGTATATATAGAATCATAGAATCATTGAGGCTGGAAAAGACCTTCAAGATCATTGGGTCCAACTGTAAGCCTAATGCTGCCAGATATGTATGCAAGAGACATAGGCACCCATGTAAAAGACTCTAGCTCCCAGGTTCTCTATGTTAGAATTCACTCCATATTTTTTCTAAGCATGGCAGTTTGTCTTCAAAAATTTAGCCAAGAAAAATAATAAATAAATAAATAAAAAGCTGCTCCACTTACATTCCAGTCAATAGTAACAAAGAAAGGGTGACGTTTAATTTCTTCCACTCCATCAAATCCAGCACCTGACAAGAGAATGAAAGAATCAAAATGAAGTCATGCTTAGAAGAGTGCTGCATAATATCTCTTCTCCAGCCTTCCTCCCTGTCCCCTCCTTTCTTCTGACGAAGTCAGAGTCACCACCTAAACATTTCTTCTAGTCAAAAAACCCTGAACAGTGCAACTGCCAGAACAGTACAAACTACCATAAATACAGACAAAGGCACTTCATTAATGAAAATTTAATGGCTGAGGGTTTTTTACTTTTCTCGAATTGAGACTGGTGCCAAGGCTGAATAGCTGCTCTCTTCAGGCTTCAGATGACACATGGGATTTCAGCTGCAGCAGAGTGCATGCACCAGAGGCCAGGAGAGGCCCCCAAGATGTCCTGATACTATGGCAAGGCGATTGCTGCTCCCTGCCACCAGCGGCAGCTCTTCTATCTGTACCGACTTTCAAATCTTGTCTAATTACCTGTTCTCCACGGGCAGAGAAAGCTGCACTACAAACAAGTTCAGACTGAAAATGACAAAAGGCTCCAAATGATTTGAGGTAAGCCAGGGGTTTAGGTTCCCCTTTTTCAAATGCCATCTTCAAATCTGCATGAATACCAAAATCATTACTCTCAGTGGTATGTTTCCGTCACTGTTAAATTTCTGTTACATTATTATAGGAAATTTAGATAAACTCTTCTGAGATCTGGTAATGAATCTAATTCCTTCATTACTTTTGCCTTGTCTTCACTGAAGATTGCCTTTTTTTTTTTTTTCTTTAGCTCAATTTATTTGCTCCAGTGCCATCGCAAAAACCAACAGGTGCTCAGTAATAATTAAACAACTGTCAGAGATGATTTAGCATGCCATTTTGGGGGTTGATTTGACTTTATTAATAGCACCTTTCATTTTCCAGTAGGAGAAATAACATCTGGAAGCAAAGGCTTTGCATTGCAATTTTGGATCCATTCCTGAAAGGTACCCAGTGCTTCTTTACATGGATGCTGAGCTTTCTTGATTCACAAAAGGACTTGGGATTCATAAGCACCTTGCAAAAGGCACTCAGCACCTCAGAGGACTCGACTCAGTTTTTTATATGCAGTATTTGTACTTTCTGAAGATCAACATTACAAGCAGCTTTAGAAAGGTCTTGTCAGCTCAAGCTTTTGTAAAATGTGACATCTGCTGTCCTTGTGTACAAGATATTACCGGTGTTTGCCAAAATGCACTGATCAGGAACGGCTTCCTACAGCCTGCTTAACATTCACTGATGAATGGATACGAAAAGCAAACACTTTGTGAACATATCATGCAGGATTGTCTGTCAGGCCTGCTGGATAATAACACAAGAGAAATGTTCTTCTGATTACTTCCCCATCCTGGTAATCTTACAGTATAGACAAATGTGACGCACATGAGGATAAACAATCCTAGCCCATCATACAAAATGAGGTGCTTGGGGGTGATCAACCCCACTGAGGTGTGAGGTCTTTGGGTTATGATGGACAGACAGCTCTAGGCAAACACAACATGAAATCAAATCTCAGAAAGAAAATAAAAGAGGAAAAAAGGGAGAGCATCATTACACTGTCACTGTCTAAGTCTGTTGTACACCTACAAGTTGAGTACGGAATGTAGTTGACACCCTCACCTATAAAGGGGTATACTTATTAAAGGTAGGAAAAATAAAAGAAGGGTAACAAAGAATGGTATGGAATGACTGAGAAGGCCAGGACTTTTCAACCTGGAAACAGATGGCCGAGGGGGTTTACAATAGGTCATTAAATGATGCTAACAGGAATCAGGTTCAGAACAACCTGGAAACGTTTACTCAGGCAACAGATAGTTGTGTGATGTAGAATTCCTTGGAAAAGATGATGTGGATGCAAAATATTTATATGGGCTCAGGGGGAGGCCAGAAAAGTATGTTGAAAAGAAATCTGTTGAAGATTACTTCATTGATAAACAACAAGAGTTTCAGGAAACCCCTTGCTTGACCTTAAAGCAGGTGTAGACTGGGAGAGAATTTGGGTGAAGTGTCACATAGGACACCCCATTCTTACTCTTCCCTAAACAGTTGTTTCTGCCCATGAGTACTAAACAAGAAAACACAATACGAAGACTTAGATAGTAATAAGACTTGTTCTATGTCTTCCCTAGCATGTTTTTTCAATGCACAGTCTAAAGTCTGCACTAGATTCCCTTGGCAGATTCATTCTGATTTTAGCAATGCCAACAGAAACATGAAACCCACAGAGTTACTCTGAAGAGAATTACATTAAGCAACTCTTCAGAGAAGAAATATCTGTGAAAAATGTTTTATGTTCAGTGGCAGTGGGTGGAAACTTTTTAACGCGTGGTAGATGTTCTTTGCTACATAAGGATGAAACCCAAGTGCCAAACTGCTTTCGAAGGACTGGGATAAATGCTATAGACACTGTAGGCTACTGGTGGCATTCCCTAGACTGAAGATAGCTGCTAATCCGTTCAGTCTTCTCTGCTTTGTCCCTTCCTCACTGTTTCCCTTTTCCCTCTTTTGTAGGCTTACAGATAGATACATCATTGTGTGATGGGAATGCCCTGCCTTTTTCAGATGATCTATTTGAAAGCCACACTTTTTGCTACTGTTGTTCTTTTTTCCACAAAATCGCAGAAATTGAGACCAAGGAAAAAGGCTGCCCATAGCTACTTCTCTTAGTGGGGGACTGCAGTGTGCAGTCAGGAATGCAGCATGCAGTTGACACAGGTGTTTGTTTGAAAAATTGTCATTTCCCACTTGGAGCCACCTCAGAGCTCAAGCTTGGAAGAAATACGCTCTTAGGAGCGACAGGGCTTGACTCCATCTCTGGTTAGCTTAATGTATTAAAGAAATTTAGGATGGTAATAGCGTAATTTTGAAGAGTGAAGGACTTCCAATTCCCAGCAACTGATTTTACATCATGGAGAACATTCAGTACTTCCTGCAGTTTTTATTCCCTGATCTTTCCCCCATGAGACCTGCTGGCATAGCCCACGGCTCCCTCTCGGGCTGGCCTGGTCCTCTCCTCAGCTGGAGGAAGTAGGTGGCCCAAGGGTGCGTTCAGGGACAGCTCTGGGAGCCCAGAGGGGCAACCCTGACCCCGCTGCAGAAGTCCATGGGAGAGGCTGGGCACCAGTGCTTATGGTGGATTCTCTCTGGATTTGCTCAGCATGTTTCAGCCATTCATCTACTATCTGCAAATCTAAAGTGGTACTGGAAAGAGATGTGCTTTTAGAGAGAAAAGAGAAGCACTGGAGAGGTCATAACTGGAAAGTTCTGTTTCATGAGGATGGACATTTCTTGGCATAGAGATGAGTATCTAGCAAACTGCTGAAGAGCAGCACACGATGGCACACCATGTGACTGCAAACCTTTCACCTTCTTCTAGGTTTCTAGTTGTTTTTTTTAACTTCAATTTAGTAATCAAACCTATCTGTAAAGAATAATCAACACGATCAGAGTTAGTGCCTGCAAATATTCATACATGCTATGCAGTCCCATGAGTGTCTGAGAAGATAAATAATGCTCTCAGATCAAATTGCCAGTTTAAACACATTATAGAGTGCAAGGATTTATATAAAAGCAGCCTCGTGTTAATAAGCAAGAACCTGATTATCTAAGATTGGTTTATGCCTGTAATAAAAGTGTCTACAAGCAGTAACAGTAGAATGTTTTATTTGTAATCGGGTTTGATTGTTGAATCATTATGGACAACGTGAGCTTTGAAATATATTAAGGGGAAAAAGGGAGACCTATGAAATGTGAAAGTTGATTATTTGGATATTCAAAAAGAGTTTCCAGATTTTTAGTTTCAGATTATAAAATTTTAGTGTCTCCACAACCTCAGAATCTTTTTAGTGGGCTGGATTTTTTGAAATGTGTTCCTAAGGTTTACAAGAAAGATGTTCAGACACTCTGACAAAAGTGAAACTTGTTTTTAAAATTAATCATCATATAAAATTGAAAAACAAAGTTTTCTATGTGCCAAAGCAGAATGTATCTTCTCTGAGAACATGGGATTAAAGAAGTAATAACTATTTCTTTGGCTTTTACTCTGAACCTACTGGCACATGTTTTTACTCTATACTTTCTTGGCCAAGCTGCTCAATTATAAGGACTCTGGAACCTTTATATTGCTCAGCAGTGTCGGGAGTTCCTGAAATGCGCTTTACATTCATTTATCCACCTGAATAGATCCAGGCCTTAGGGCAAGTAAGAATTAGTCCCTTGCCTAAGTTCCTGGCAATGTAATGAACTAACACCTTCATTGTACAATCTCCTTTCCGAGACTGTACTCCTTGTTTGCCTGGGTATGCCAGTTACTTAATGTTAAGAATTTAAAATTATGCTCGTCTAGAATCTGAAATTTGTTGTACTGAATCAGAGCAATACTACCAAAGCAGCGCTATGCAGACTATTTGTACAGAACAGTGTTTAGGCTCAGAAAAGAATAGAATGCGCCCGTAACAAGGGATGCCAAAGGAAGACCTTCCATTCCTTAAAAATTTGTTCTAAAGCATTAATACAGGCACCAGACTTAAAAATAGAATCAGGTAAACTAGATTACTAAATTTCTTCTCTGCCTTGTCTGAGTATCTCCCTTCAACCTTAATATTTTTTTTTCCATTAATAATCCAAATCTTCAAAAGAAAGTTTCAAAGCAAAGCTTTAGAATACATCATCAATCTTTACTTCTATTTGTTAAGATATCAAAATCAAATGGCAAAAAGCAACATGGTAGTCAGAATAAAATGATTTTCAAAGCTCAGCATCTTTCCTCTTGCCAATGTTAAAAACACTTTGGAGCTAAATACAAACACTTTCCAGATTTGCAAACTTCTGAAACAATGGCTGAAAAGAAGTGTTTGATCCATAATACGATTCATTTATTTTAGCACGCTTCATTAATTTTCCAAAGATTTTTCAAAACAGGATGTCTAAGCCTACTTTTCTTTTAACTTCAGACTATTATTATTCCTTTCCCAGAAAAAACTAAAATCCACAAAGTTGAAGCAGTCCTTTTATCTACTGACTTCTGTTCAGTATTTAGGCCAACCATTTAAGTGTTCCTTCTTTCATTACCAACCAGTCTGTTTTCATCGTCCTTTGTGCTGATTCTCAATCAGTTAAAACAGAGAGAGCCTTCAGAAGCTTTCCACTGTTATCCCTGAAATGTTAAGATCTATTTTTCCTTAACAGTTTTAGATTTTATTTCCTTGGATGTTTGTATTATAAATAATCTTTTCCTTTCCCCCAGACTTCCCAGTATTTCAATAAACCCCAGGTTTAAAACCCTGACCCTTAGCAATTCGCCATTATTAAAAGGGAGACGATATGGGGGCTAGAACTGTCATGGCTAAAAGTAAGCAACTTTGCTTGTTTTAGTGAGTTGGTTTTTATATAAGGATCAGTATCCAGAAACTCCTACTGACTTGACTGGAGCCCCATTTTGGACAGATAGCAGCTTGTGGGAAGCCACAAAATGAGCAGAGCGGAACAAAACCAAGAGACGGAGACAGGGAGGAAACAGCAGAAAGGAACAGAGGGGTGGAGTGGGGAAAAGTTTATATTTGCTGCGGCATCTTGTTTTGCTGAACATAGATTAAACCTAGAAATCCCAAGACTCTAATTTTCTCTAATGTCAAGCAAATTGCTTGAGAGCAATTGAAACCTGCTGAGAAAATGTGTTTTCCCACTATCATCTCTACAGCATACCAGACTACAAGAGCTACCATTTAGGTCAAGAGGTAAAACCTGTGGGAGGGCATTCCCTCCGCGGGCAGTGCAGCTGTCCCCCTGGGAGGAGAGGTGCCACAGCAGTGGGCTGAGGGACTGGCTCCCCGTTCCCACCCAGCCCTGCGGGAGGTGGGGTTGTCCCCCGGTCCCTGTGTGGCGCAAGGGCTCTGGGCTCCTGCTCTCCCCAGTGCTTGCAGAGAGAGGCAGCCTGCTCCATACTGTCCTTGTCCACAGGACTTGCTTTTCATAAGTCTCAATATTTACCTACTCTATGCCATTTTCTAAAAGACAAGTTGTTTATTAGCTGCCATAGCTCCCATGGATGGCAATGACAGTCAACCATATATTTAAACATGACCCACCAGCTCTCTTCTTATGATACAGTTTACAGAATTGAAGGATTAAATTCCTGCTCCTAAGGTCAATTCTTGCTCCTAAAGTCACAAAAAACCCCAACAGAGGTATAAAGGAAAGGTTTGTCCCTTTCCTTTAGAAGCAAATTCTTCCCCTGTTCATCCAAAATGCAGGACATGAGAGCTGTGGGGAAAAAAGAAACCGCCAAAATTGTTCACAGAGCTAGATATGATTTTTAAATGAAAAACAATACGGTGCTATTATCTTCATATCATTCATTTGATATGACTGTTCTCATTTTTCCACATAAAAAACAAAGACCAAATTTGCAATGAAAATCATGCACCAGGCATTGTCCATGACCTCGCCAAATGCAATGAAGTTCTTAAAAAGCCTCCCAAACAAAGGTATGGCATAAAGTACATGATCCAATACATCCGTCTAGTTTATCACAATTTAAATAGGATTATTAACAAAAGGAGGAAACACAGTAGTAAGAAAGGAGATAATACATTTAGGGTAATAAAGAGGAAAGTCTACTGTGAAAACGTTCCCAGCAAACAGAATGAGACAGCATGAAATGTATTCGAGAATGGGAGAGAGAAATTCTACTCTCTTTTGCTTCCCACCTCAGATTTGCAGCTAAGTTATACAGAATTAAAAAGATACCTGTTTCTCAGTTCCCTATATTATCATATGCAGCAGTTATCTTAAACCCTTCATAAATGCTGGTGGTTTACTCTCCCTTTTCACTGAAAAAAAACCCCAACAAGCTAATATCATGTTTTAGATTCCAATGGTTTCCCTGTGCTCTTTGCAGATTTCTCTAGTAACGCTCAAGGTTCACTGCACTCTGGGAAGGAATGCAAAATGCTGCATAATGAAGAGGATAACTATGAGGGAAGATGCACCGAGAGAAACGATCCCCACCTGACAAGGCAGAGCACACATAGCAAACGCCCGAATCAAATGCGCGTGCATACCTAATCTGTTGGAGGGGTTCCTTTTGAAGAGGGCTCTCAGCAGGCTCTGGGCTTCTATGCTCAAGAACTGTGGCATTCCCAGCTTGGCTCTGAAAGAACACAACACTTGAAAAGAAAATAGATTTTTCAAAAATTTTCTCCATCCCACTGTGGTTTTAAAAGTAGAATTGTAGTAGTCAGGATGGGCAGACACATCAATTCGGTGACCAAAGGCTACCTAAGCATAATGCAATACAGATTGAGGACCCGATCTTGTTCTATTGGAGTTAAAGAAGGTTTTACCACTGGCTTCACTGGAGGTACAGTAGATCTAATGAATCTCATAACACCTTTTGCAACCTAAGGTGATTTTCCTATAGAAATTTTTTCACTTTGTTAGTTTGCTGGAATAAATTTAGGAATCAAGAGGAATTTAAACAAACAAATAAAGCTTCATGAAAATAATTATACTACATCCCATATTGATTAAAGAGAATAAAACTTTTCCCTTGGCAATTCACTGCTACAGAGAAAAAATATATTGAGCAAAGATAAGCTTCAACTACTTATGTCTGCACTTAACATTAAATGAACAGGAAATGTGCAAAGGGAAAGATTTGAAACTTGGCAACAACAAAACATAAGATGTCCTGCAGAAATTTGACTGTTCTCACTTTTACGTGGGTAATGACATTCTTTATTAAAGAAAGTAGGATACATTTCTTTTGTAAGGCACTCTCAGTAATTCATTTCCTACTATTTATTCGGAAGGCAATTTTAGAGCCACATGCAGGCATCAGCTGTGCGTGTCTTACCAAATTCATGCCTTACATAGCTTTGAAAAACGCATTATCCTCCTCTACCTTTCGTATACTTAGGACCTATAGGATGCCTGGAGGGTACAGTTAACTCATAGTAAGAGCAATGAAATCAGTTTCGGTACTCACTTGAGAATGAGTGCCATCGTCTCCTTTCTGTCTTTTCCCTGGAACGGTAATGATCCCGTCAGCATCTCAAACTGTGGAGTAACAAAAAAACGGTAAATCAAATGAGCATAGATATGGTCTGCCTAGCTGATAGACACCACACCCACCTTCGAAGCCCAACACAACTGAAAACTTGAGGAAAAGAAATGGTCCAAGAAGCTGTACTTCAGAAAAAAGTGACACAGCAAGTCTGGCTTATGCAGAACATGAAGGACCAACGTGACTGTTTTGTTCAAGAGTCTTGTTATAAACTGTTTACTCTGATACCTGGGGTCAAGTTTGGGTACGTTTGGGAAGAAGTGTCATATATGCTGTTTCCTCCAGCACCCATTTTATGGCCAATACTGGAGATGAGATATTTGGCTGGGGGAACCCTTAGTGTGAATGGGCATGGCTGTTCTTAGATGTTTGGCATGGACTGTGATGCAAGGAAAATGTGTTCAACATGCTCCTCCCCATCTTTTTAGCTTGAGTCGAATCACCTTTTTGATTGTAAATTTGCACCACTCAGAGACGCTACTGCTATACTTTGCAGGAGAAACATGCACAGACCCCGTGTTCTCAAGGCATTTGAGTGTGTTTTTTTCCCTCCTGCTTTGATTTCCCTGGCTGTATTCAGTGATGAATTTTGCAAGTGTCACTTTTAACTGAACCCAAATCTCAAAGCAAAACTCAGCAATCATCATCAATTACTTGCCTAACTCACACAGCAACACATCAATCAGTTATGGTTCCTTTGAAACAGATCCAGTGCTTTCAGTAAATTTGACAGGAATTTCACATTTGTAACCAAAAAAAACCCCAAAACCCAGCCAAAGAAGCTTGCCTAATATGGATTCAAAACCAGGTCTTTCATGCAGCTCCTGCCATGGTGTTTCATAGCAGCATGAGTGGCAGTTGGTTCCTCTGACTAAGGGATGATGAAGGTTATACATCGCCAAACACAAAGACACCAAGAACATAATTCAGCCTGGGCACAAAGGAGGACAATGTCCATGGAGGGTAAGGAGAATGGTTACTTGTTTATATCTGTGACTCAGACTTCAGATCTCTTCTACTATAAGAAGTACCTACTAATTAATATGCATTGCTATAAGTAAATATCTGTTAAGGCAGGACAGACTCTGCAACCCTTATGCAGTTTTCGTGCCTTATCACACAAGTAACTTCACTGCTCTCAGGAAGCACATTTGTGCAAAAAAGGATCCTTTCATTACCAAAACCTGTGTCAGACTGCCCCACAGCCTGACTCTTCCCTTTTCCCAGATTAATTATAGCCATACCGTAGGAAAAATGTAGGAAAACATAAGAAAACTGTAATTGTGAAACTGTATTACCAGTTTTCTGATGAGGGCAGAGGAGAGGTTTAGGAGCCAGATAACTAATTGACTATAATTAATTGAAGGATTAATCTGCATTAGTAACAAATTGCCTCAAGGCAATAAAACACATAATAGAGATAAGGAAAAAACACTTTTTTAAGTGTGTATGGCTGAAAAATATAGACAAGATTTGCAGAACATAAATGTGTTAACTCCTGCTTGGTCTAGTAGAGAAGAGGTACCTGGAGGAAAGCAGCTCATCTTCTAGGGAGAAACATGATGGGGGAGCATTCTTAAAACTGCCTAAATGACACTGGAGCTCAAGCACAATTTTCATAGTAATTCTGACCTATGAGAGCCTTAGTCCTGATAAAATGTTCAGATATACTGGGGATGAGGGGCAGAGAACATTGCTTCCCAGGGCAGCAGCAGAAGTGGTACATATTGTACCAAACCCTCCTCATGATTTCTAAAGAGTTTACGTTCAGGGTAAGTACCTAATGTTCACTTACACTTGCTTATGTTACTTTGTTGTTATAATAGATCTAATTTAATAGCACTAACAATGACTGCTACCGCTCATTTATTTTGGCAGAAATGGGTTTGACACTGCTGATGCGGATGACACAGATATAAGCAACTGCTTGGTCAGTGACTATGTGGGAAAAAGACGATGGTAGTTCCCACCCAGCACAGTATCACAGAAAGATCAGCAAATGCACAATTTAAGTTGCAGGAGGGAGCAGGGGAAATAACAGTCCTGGAGGCTGCAGGGAATATTTACTGCGCTGCTTTAATGGCTAGCACTTTGTTACCACGTCTCCAATTACACAGATCTAATGTTGAGATTAATTCAGATTCAGAAGAAATGCACTTAACATCAATATTTAAAGTGAAAGGCAGTTACATTAGTTAAGTGTACCAGAGCTTTTTATTTCAATAAACTCAACTAAGCAGCAGCTGGAAGAAAGCACTGGCTTCTCAATTGCAGTCCTCATTAAGTCTGTTGAAGGTTAAAACTGAAGTAACAAGACTGAAAAAAAAAATAAAATTGAAACAGTTCATCTCATCAGTTGAAGCTACCGCTTTACTGTGCAACAACCTGTTTTCCTGCTTATTTTTTCAAAAAATCAAAAATCTTGCGAAACGTAAACATGCAAACAGAAGTGAGCACTTGCTGCTAACACCCTTGCATGTAAATACAGAGTTGTATGGGTCACAGCAGGCTGACAAGGAGATGAGCCTAGGCGTGAAGAAGCTCTGTAGTATTTTTGGCTACTAAAGCAGACCCTATAGTTTGGCCTGGAGACTCAGTTTTCACTCTCCCCACTTCCCCATCTGTATAAACCATCTGTTTGCTCCTTGCCTCCCAGTGCTTCGCTTCCTGGGTATTCCGGAGGGCCACCTTCTGTTAGCCACTACTTCATAACGCTGTGCCCCCCTCCAACCTTGACTTCCTTTCTGTATCAATATTCAGCAAGACAGGCAAATATTCCCTGTTCCAGTTCAGCTGCCTATAAAGACAACCACAGAATTAAAGCTTGATGGGAAGAGGTCTCTGGAGTCACCTAATCCAGCCCCTGCTTAGGTCTCGAAGTACTTTCACTTCCTTTCTCTAGTTTTCAGGGCAATCACGAATTTCAGCAGGCAAAACACCGGCACTGGAGACCCCAGAAGATACACACGTGGGAAGACCTTGGGAAAGAGGGCCGTGTTTCCTGAGGGAATAGATGATTCAAAAAGCGACCCTGGTAGGTCACTGAGGAAGATAATGAACAAGAAAAAAAAAAATCTACAGCCTGGGGTAATTGCCAGATGAATCTTCCTAGCAGATGGAAGGAGGAGAGCAGATTGTGCAAATTACTTCAGCTGAAGCCTGCTAAAGTATTGTGAGCCTAGGATAAAATTCAGGGTCACAAAGAAACTTGATACCACTCAGTTTTTGGAGAGCAGAGAGAGACATTTGTCAGAATGGCTGGGTTCCCGTCTCAACGCTTGCAGCCATTTTCCAGGTAGCTGGGACCTGGTCTGCCACTCGGTTTTACCATTTGTAAAATGCACTAAGTATTTTTCATTATTTGCCAGGTGTGAGGCATAATGAATTAGTGTTCGCAAAGGGTTTGAATACCTTCACATAGCAGCTAACATAAACTTTCAAAATACTGCTCATGAAGACCATCTACTGCACTGGGAACAAAACAAGTGTTATTACGGGATTTTATAAAAGAAGATCATATAGCTTTGGTGTCTCATACTGATTTTTCCAGTGCCACCGTACAGTTACTACAAAATTATTTCAGAGCTGACTACTTTGTTTGGATACAAAAGGATATTTTCTTTTCTTTTGAAGTCCTCACTACTTACACATTGCTAACAAATATAAAGACATTTCTTTTTATTTCAGACTGCCTACTGAGTCATCACACCCCTCTGCTCATATAACTCTCAAAGGTGTACAGTGTTTTTTCCTGAACTGGAAAGACATACAACTTCCATGAGGTCTGTGGCCTTGTAAATGAGCTGGTATGATGAACTACAAAACCCCTGCTTTGAGAGGCCTTCCAAGAGACTTGCTCATATTGTATCATGCAGACCTGTTTATTTGGGCTTCAGAGAGGCAGTGTGGGCATCAAGGCTCTTGGCAGCACAGCTGAAAAGGTATTAGTCCTATATGGAACTTTTGAAGAATTTAAGTCCATTCCTTGTTCATGCAGATCTCTCGATGCAAAGCTTTTGTAGAATAAGTCCTATCCAAAATTTTCAATGCAATGAGTAAGGTGCAGGAAGGCAGAAAACAAAATCTGTCTGGTCACGATAAACCACTTAAATTCAAAAGCACAAAATTTTAATCGGGTCCCAGCAGTTGTCATCACATACTAAATGAGAGGCAGGTACTGTCCTCTGGAATGCTTGGAAAGGGTTAATTTCAAGATGTGTATAGGAGTTGACACCTACTAAGCTACCATCAAACAATTCAAACAAACTGAGCAGCTAACAGAGCAGATAATAGTTTTGGTTTTGTGGCCTGTGTCAAGACCTAGCTGGTGGTAAAAGAAGTTTCATTGCTGATAGTAAAACTCCCACTGAATAATAATCTATAAAATAATTAATAACATAATTAATAACTCAAGACCAGAATTTAGTCTTTTTCAGATAAGTGCGCTTTGATCACAACATGCCACATTTACTGTTGTCTTCAAGGATCGTTCAGTTTGATTCTACCCTGTGCCTGGTCAATGCAGGTTGCCAAGGAGCTGCTACTATACCCCAACTGTTCATACTGTAGCACTAATTCCTCTTCGTGGAAAAAAACAGAGAAGACAGTGTTTGGTTGCTCTTCTGACAGCTAGGTTACAGGGCATTTTATCGCTAGCTGCCTAATAAGTTCCCCCTATTTATCAAAATTTAAGGTATGACGATTACACTGTCACATGCACTTCCTTTCAATCTATCCATATGCCACCAACTGGTATATTTTCTTTGTATATTTCACATCATACTGTGAATTACTTAGAAATGCTAATACATCATTTGGATACCATTTAATTCTCTTCAGTTTTTCAGGCTGGCAGAAAACCAGCTTCCCTAATAGAACATGCAAGTGACAGAACAAGGAAAACAAGTAGAAATGAGCAGAGCGAAAGACAGCAGCAGAAAATCCTCCTGTATTTTTAGAGTATGGAAATACCCTTTTTCTGCCCCAATCAGTTAATTGTTAAAGAGCAAAAAAGATTGAACTGATTAGAGCTATTTTTCTCTAAGATGTCTGGTAGCACTCAAAGGCTTAAAGCATTAGCTTACAGTTAAAAAGATTTTTGTCTCTTTAACTCATCTCCTTTTATATGGATTCTTATCTTTTCTCATTCTAATACACTGAATCCCTGGGGAAGGGATGAAAAGACAGCTGGAGGAAAAAAAAAAAGCGCTTAGAAATAACAGGGGGGAAGGAGCCAAGTTCATTAGCAGGTGAAAGAAAAACAATCTATACACCAAATACACCATCATTTAACTGGAGATAGTGAGAAGGCACAGATATCCTCCAAAACTAAATACATAATAAAACAATTACAGGGTTGGGACATATCTATTATATGAGACATAACCTATTGACTTTCCTGAATAAACATATGTGGTTCAGAAGTGCTAAGCATCCACAAATGGATTTGTGGCCACAGGAGATAGGGATGTTCCACTCCTTTTAAATTCAGGTAATAAATTACAATATTTACTTAGATTAACTGATGTCAACCACCTAGATCAGCAATTTAGGCCCTCCCCCCCCCCCAAATTTTCACTAGTTTTCACATTGTGTCCTATCCTTACTTCCTTTGGTGGCACTAGTTGTCTACTTAGGGTAAACAAATTTAAACATACTCTATGGATTGTGGTATCTAGTGTAATATATAGCTACCTAAAATAGCTTCCGTACCACAGGAAATGGAGCTGCATTAGAAGAGCACATTGCTAAGTTAATTTACGCTTCTGCAGGGGAGCAGTGATAACCACGGTGAGGTGCAAGGTGAGCCACAGCTGCAGCACTGTGCTGCATTGCGCTGCCCGTTGATGGCCGTGCGCTGAGCACTTGGGTAGACCTGCAGCCTGCATGATTCAGCAGAGAGCAGCATCACCTTCGTTATCTGAACATATCCCTGTGAGAGTAATAAATGCATGGTGTCTGCATCAAAAAGCCTATGGCGTTCATATAGCTTTTAAAAATTACAATGTCACAAACCAACTTCTCCTTGATCTTCTCTCCGTCCTCTTCAGCAACGATGTCACCACAGACTCAAGAGGCTGGATGGGTGCAGGAAGGAGCAGATTAGCACCCAAACACCTAATTTTAGATGGCTGGTGTGAGGAGGGTTCCATACCTCTCTGAAAAACTTTCCTGACGCTGCATGCCAGTGTCAAATACTGCAGCACTGAGGAGGATGTTATTGGGTCCTTCTCATAAACCAAGCAGCTCCACTGTAGTCAGATACCTCTCACAGAATTCTTATTGGAAAGTGTTTTCCAGGGCCTCGCTTCTTAAGCAGCTGGGAGCTTTCTTCATCTTTCCAGACTAACTACACTTCACAATGAGTTTATTCCTTCCGGCTCTTGGGGCAACATAACTCTTTAGCTGAAATAGCTCCTTTCTCTCTGTGATGTTTTTCCCTGTGATGTTTTTCCCTGTGATGTATTCATAGATCGTTTAGGTCCTATACCATCTTTGGACCATTATTGGACTAATAAGCATCTTCGATTAATGAATTTCTCCTGCAACACTGTATCAAATACTTCATTATAATGGAGGCACTTAATTTACTTTGTTTAGATAAAGATGGCTATCTCATCAAGTAAAATATCAGATTAATCTAGCACAACTGATTTTTGGTGAATTCAGGTGGCATTTTAACCAACTTTTAATTGATTTCCATGTATAAAAAATAAATTAGCACAATTTGTCATATTGATTCCATTTAAACTACCTCCAGAATAGTTTGCAAGACTCTTAAAATTAAGCAACAATGGGGAAAAATTGCAACTTTTGTATAGCTAATGCAATGCAAAGACATGTAAGAAAAAGATGAATTCCTAGCTATTCCTCTGTGCCAATTGATACATTTGTGTCTGTTTCTGGTGATTTCCTCCCCAGTGACTACCAGTCATTTTAAAACTGTTTCATAGCATCATTTTAAAACTGTTTCACATGCATAATTTTAAAACCAGCTTCAGCATGCACTTAAGGCAAACATCTCAAACTAGTCATAAACAAGACAAAGTAAAATAGTACAGAAGAAAGGAGGATGACATGGTGCTCGTATGTATTTGTTTTCTTTCCCCACCAGGAGAAAAGAGAGGTGTTTGAGTGACAGTCTCCCACCAGCTGATAAGACTACAGGAAATCCTCCGGCAGTCCAAAAACTACCTTAATCTCATCAGTGGAACAAGATTCAGCAATGCTGATGTGAAGAAGACAGATGAATGGCAAAAGAACCACTGAGGACCTGTGAAACATTTAGAGTGACCTCTAAAATATGCCCTTTTAAATCTGTATTTTGCAGAAAAAAAAGGATAAATCTCTGAGTTTCCCTCAGAGGATGTCCCTAACTTCTGAAAATTGCTGCTTGGGGAATTTTTTCCTAACAGGAAGCATGTAAGTAACCAGACAGATGTTTCTTCTGAAATGCTTGTGTTCTTCTGAGCTTGCCCTGCCTTGTTTCTGAGCAGTAGAAATATTCATGGTTCATGGCAACCAAGCGAGACAGCAAAGGACTGAGAGAAGGAAGAGAGAGAATCTGGGGCCAAATACTGCAATCTGGGCCCCGTATACTGCAAGCAGCAGCTGGTTCGCTATCTCTGATGCTATGAAAACAATCAAGCAATCATTACCCATCTACTTTTCTATCTACCCTTAATTGCTGGAAGCCGTACTTTTTATTTGAGGGATCTGATGACTCCTACAGCCACCCCTCCAACAAACAAACACAACTTTTCCATTACCATGAGTACGCCGAAAGACCACCAGTCTGCACTCTGTGTGTGTCCTCGTCGGTTGACCACCTCTGGGGCCATATACTCTATTGTCCCACAGAATGAATACGCTCTCTTGTCATGGTCAATGGCTTCTTTACTGAGACCAAAATCTAAATAAATTGAAACAAAAAAGACTTGTCAGGTCTATAAAAATGATTATTTACACTTTTGCTCACTTAAACTGTTCAAACCAAACATATCAACCAGAGGATGATGCACCCTTCTGTCCGCATGCAGAAAGGCCACAGGCACGTGTGTGCTGAAGCCCTGCCTACGTGGAGGGCCTGGCTGGCGTTTGTTAGCACGTCCTGAAATAAGAGTATCATTTTCTCTGTTCAGAATGAGGTTCTGGCCCAAAGCAGAATAGAGAGTTTAAATAAGCAGAAACACACAGTTCAGGTTTGATGAAGGTGATGCTGGCAAGGATTCTTGCTCAGATAACCAAAGCATTAGGAATAATAATCCCAGATGGACACCAGTGAAAAGGGTGGCCAGGCAGCACCTCCACGGTGGCAAAGGGATGTCTTTCCAGGTGCCCTCTGCACAGTTATAATTCAGAGAATTTAATCTGGATTAAGCAGTCATACTGGAAGCATCCTTCCATCCACAGTGGTAGGCAGCCAAGCCCGCACACTTCATGTCAGTCAGGACTACAGTTTTACCAAGAAAACACTATGTTCCCCATGTGCTGTGCAGCACTGTTGCTGGACAAATTGCCAGAGAAGAGAACCCCAATACTCAAATTTTTCTGGCTTCTGAGTTTTTGTAAGAAAACTCCTTGCAAGCAAAGACCAAGATGCACGGGACATACTGCAGAAAAGAATAATCAGATTGTCGACATGAAGTTTTCCATTCCTCACATACCTGTTATCTTAATGTGGCCCTCTTCATCAAGAAGAATGCTGTGAAGCAAAAAGCAAATATTATTAGGCAGGCATAGACTGCAGTTAACAAACATGACTAAAACACGTTTAAGACAGGTAAGGAGATACACAAGAATCAAATGCATGTGTAAACAAACCCTCAGTGGATTATATGCCTCCAGAAAGAAAAACGATCCTCAAAGGTCTGTCTAATCTCACGTCTGAAGCATGCATGGCCTGCGGCACTCGCACGGGGAGCCTCCTCCTTACTCCACAGCCTGCTCAGGGTGGGCACGCAAACTGAGCTCAGAAAGAACAGGGTGTTCAAAGCCAACAACTGCAAAGTATCTGCTTCCTGCAGGAGAAGGAGCTACAGGTTTTCTGCTCTTCTCATAATAATAAAGGCAAGCACGCATATAATCAGGGCTCGGGCTCGCTAGACCTAAAATTAACTCCAAAGGTAGATACGTTCATGCTGAAGTAATAAAAGTGATCATAGAGCACAATGAGTAGTCACAGCCTAACGGCATGGATCTTGGTCCCTGCTAATTTATTCGGTCTGGAAGCATAAATGAAAATTCAGCCTGGAAGCCAAGTTCAAGTGTTCTCATGTTTGCCACCTGCCAACATATTTTAGTCTCACAAAGGCACTCCCAACATTTCTGTGAGAAAAATGACTGTAGTTCACAAAAAGCATTGCTGGTTTTTGTGGAAACAAGAAGGAACATTGAAACCGAAAAATAATGATTTTGGTAACTTTTCTGCCTATAAATACCGACACCACAATGACGGTGGTGTTTCTTCAATCCTAGTTAGATTTAGCGTATTTCTCTTTTCACAATAGTCTAGTGAGGTGTTGGCTATTTTTATATTCCCCTTCTCTCAGAAAGTCACTTAATCCTTTATTCAGAAAGAAAATAAGACAGAAGTGAAACTATCACATTGGGATATACTTTTGTGAAAGGTTGTCTCGGTACTGAAACGTAATTGAAAAAAGATGATCTTCTGTCATTTGTTTGTGTATTTAGAACAGACTGTTATTGTGTAATTCATCAAGTAAAGGCCAGCAGCTGTGTCAATACGATGTCAATAATTAAAGTTTTTCTTCTCGATAAAAGCTTCTTTACCTCTATTATTTCTCCCTAGATTTCTTTAAGAAGCACAATATTTAAGTACTAGCCTATAACAAGAATGTTTAAATGTATTTTTTTGACTACAATCCCTAAACAAGAGGCTTGTGCTTCAGAAGAGAACAGAATAAAACACCTGCCAGTGTGGAAGTGAGCATGAACGCATGAAGTCCACGGACCTGGTTCTGGAAAAACAGCAAGGGGGAGTACAGTTCATAGGAATCACCCAAAATTTTGCCCCACACCCAGGAAGACCATCTGAATAACAATGCAATTCAAAAGGTGTGGGATTTCCCCCAGAAACACTGACTTTATATTTCATTGATTTCATATGGAAAATTCATGCTGGTTTTCTATGTATATGATTTATGGTTTTCATACCTTTGCCCTCATTAGAGGGTTAATATCTTACCCTCATTAAAGGGATGGGGTAATACCAACACAGCTATCAGACTCATAATATGTCTTAGGCTAAGTGAGCCTGAAGCATACAAGACACTTTCTCACATTGAATGTCTGTATGAGCAGAAAAATGAACAGATCCTGGTTTCCTATAGATGTGCATCCTATACCCCCGAACTCTTGATCTACAGTTCCCTCCTCTTTCTTGTGTTCCCTAATCACCCTTACATGGTGCCCTCAGCTGCCTGCAGCTTCCCCAGTGGCCCCTGGCAGCACCCTTTGGACAGCTGGGTGTTCCCACATTTGCCATCTGTCAACACATACAACACTAAGGTTATGCACTGAAAATTACATTCAATGTAAAAAGAAAATAATATGCTAACAGTGAGAAAAAGGCACTTGTTGCATTGAATTAGCTTTGAGTGACGTTAGGAAGCAAAGAACAATGTACCTGCTTCTAAGCATCTGGATTACAACAGCAGACATGGTTTTCCTTTGACTGACTGTGGAAGCAAACTTATTCTCTGATCATACTTTCTGTCTTCTCTTATCTTTATCACTTTACAGTTCCTTTTTATCCCACACTGTCAACAGTAGAAAATCTATTGTGACAATCACAATTACTTTAGCTATGGTTTGCAGGATCAGCTAATCTGAAATAAGCTACTATTTTGCGGAATGGAAAAAAGAACCAGAAGTTGTTAATGGCATTCAGGATTGAGAAAAATCTTTCTTCTAGATCAATGTTTTGAAATTATAAAATACGTAAGAAGTAGACTACTTTTCAACATTAAACGAGGCTATAGTCCCATTGAGTGATAACCTTTCATTACAAGATCTCTCTGTTTTATTTGTTCAGTTTAAGGTTTGAGTGTGTTTACAGGATACTATCATTGTCAACCTGTTCTTTATTTCAAAACAATAACAACATTCTAGCCTGGGGCTTGTCCCACAAACGTTCAAACTGCTTTCACTGACGTCAGTTTCAAAGTATGCCTTGAGAAAATAAAGGCTGAAAATCTCCATGTTAGAGGCTGGGAAACTAAGCTAGCATCAGGGCAAGTTACAGGAGAAGCTCATAATTGAGCTAGGACTGAAACCTCCTTAGTAGTTTTATTTTGTTGCAACTTTAGCACAGGGATAAAAAACCTTTGTTATTAGTTGTTGAGACTATTTTATAGTGACTTTTAGATCAAGGTCCTGTTTCTCCCTCTCTCTTTATTTTTAATTTGGAGTCAGTCTTTTAAGCTTCACTTTGAGCTCCGATGTACCCAAATCATAATGAAGTTCTGCCAAATCTATTAAAGCTGGAACCCTGGGTGAGTTGGGTTTTTTTTTGATGATTTAAGTTTCTTTCCAAGTCAGCTCAGTTGTGCAGAAAATTTCAAGCCACACTTCATGTTTTTCAGAAATTGTAGCCAAAATTTCAGGTTGCAAAGAAAACCTGAAACTTCATAAACAGTGTTTAATTTGATTGCAGGCTTTGTTATGAAAGTACCAGACAGAAATGAAGTATTCAAATATCTGCCAAAGAGGTGAAGATTTGCACAAAATGTCCACCTTTTGTGATATTTCAGTGTCTGCATGACCCCAAACTATCTCACCATGCTAACAGTCTTACGCCGCGCCTATCTCTGCTGTAGCTTCATTGACTGCTTACTTCGATGGAAGACGATGGTGATTTTCCACCAAAAGTCTTTGTCCTTTACCGATTCTCAGATCTTCCCTCTCTACACAGGGCAGCTACATTCATGAATGAATTGCCATGGTTTACAACATGTTGCATTAAGCAGTAGTGGTTTGGTTTTTTTAATATAGTTCAACAATTTGGGAGTTGTTATATAAGCAGATAATACGAGCTGTCCCTTGTACAGACAGCTGAGGGCATTACAATGTAAACCACCCCGTGTTAATCAAAGCCCCTACAACAGAACTGTATCAAGGTGCATCTGGGTACCTGGAGATAGAAAAGGCAAAAATAAATAAAAAAAATCTGTGCGTTCTCAGAAGGCAGAGCTACTTCTAAGTCACTCATACCCTTAAACCACAGCATAAGAAATAACATATGCATCATATACTGCTTCATAGTAAGTTCTCATTTTTCTATCTTGGTGTAGCCTTATTTAATAGATTGATCCTGCAGTTCTTGAACAGAAACATGCCTCACCATGTAAGTAACTCCACCGGTTTCAGTGTGACTGAACAGTACCTTGTTCCACAAGGGATGCCACCAAAACCACCAAGACAGCTCAAAGAGAAGAATTTGTCTGCAACAATTTAAGGGAAGAAGCATCTGCTTGTTCTAAACAAGACTTTAACCAGAAAACTCAATTGCTTCCTTTTTGAAGTAAGTACAGCTAACTTTATAACAACTCCCAAAGTATATATTCTGCTTGCAATTAAAATTTATTCATAGCTTTGAATTGTTAATATGGATTTTTGCTCAGGGAATCTTAAAAAAAATGTGAACCTTAAATTTTAATGTACTGAGGGTTCTTTCAAGTGGTATGAACAGTGCTATTTTCTAACTAGTCTTCTTTGACATCAACAGTTCCGATGAACTTCATTTTAGGATCCTTACAGAGCTGACTGAAGCAATCTCAAACCTATTAGCAGTTACTTTTGGGAGCTTCTGGAGGACAGCAAAAGCACTGAACAATGAAAGAAGGTCAAATGCAGTGTCTATCTTTTAACAAAAGGGGAGAGAGAATTGGGAAATTACAAACAAATTCATCTGTCTCTGGTTCTGCAAATCTGATATGGTAAACCTTGTGCTTTAATCAGACTGGCAGTGCTTCTCCTGAAGTCGTGTGTGTAATTCTGCACATTGCACTTCAAAAGGGATATGGATCAAGAGAAACCAAAGTGGAGGAACAAGGATGGTTGAACACCCAGAAAACTGACTGGTGAAGAAGAGTTTGGTAGCTGCAGTGTTTAGGGTACAGAAGAGAGGTCCAAGGACACAGAGGTGTTCACAATTCTCTGAGGCTGATGCTGAGAGCAGAATGAGCCGACTGGGGTGTTGAGGACAGGCCAAAGAGCAATGGCCTGCAACTGCAGCAAAGAGATTTCAAATTAGCTATTAAGAGCAACTTTCTAGATGTACAACTGGGGGAGCACTGCATGGAGTTTCCACCATCTGTTTTAAGAGTAGGTTAGCAACACATCTGGAATGACCTTGATATATTTGACCTTCTCAGAGGCAAGGGGAGGATGGTCCTAAATTTCTTTTATCATCTTATTTAGAGAGCTATCCTTTCCCAGACATAACTTAAAAATATAGCACTTTTTTTCTCCTTCAGAATGATTTTTTTTTTCCTGCTGTACCTGCTTTTTTACTCTAAACCTAAAGTTCCTGTGAAATCATAGGCTGTCATGCTCTGCTGTCCAAGGCATGGCTACAGGTGGGCTTTGCACTTACAAAGTTATTTTTAAAGGATACAGTTTTCAATCAAACAGATGCCTTGATTTATCCCCAGGTATGAACTTCAGTTACACCAGTCTGGGTCATTCCCTTTTCTGTACAACAATAGTTATATTCATGTAAAGTAATTTTATATTGTGACAGTTGTATCCAGATTCAACTGTACCACTGGTATCTATTTAACCACACATCAAAGACAATAAACCATACATTCAAAAGTTAGGATATATCAGAATGAGGGCTGCCACCTTAACTTTACACAAACATCTCACTGTATAATTACATGATGATACTTTTTGTTTTCTTCCAGTGAGTTCTTACCTCAGTTGGCAGAACAGATAACATACTCGGGGATTTTAGCAGAGCGGTACAGTGACGGGGATGGCTGGCTGGTCTCAGCTCAGATGAAAATGCACAGAGAACTGGGCTCCGTCTTTGCCTTTTCAACATGTCTCTGTCTGACAACGGCAAATCAGTGACACCTTCCTTTCTTAGGTGAGCTCTGACTTCTCAATTCACTGATCCCTGATTTGAGACACTGCAGTTTGGACTGCAGAAATTTTAAGTGCTCTCACTTGCAACTGAAGTCAGTGAGAGCTGTGCTTTGAAACACAAAGTGACACATAATGCTGAGAACTCTGAAAAATCAGGCTCGCAGTATCTCAAATACAGTGAATAGTTTTGACATGCACTTCATTTTCCTCTCAGTTTCTAACTTCCCCTAAAGCAAAAAATTACAGCATGTGCCTATAAACGTAACAGCACCATGACTTATATTTGAATATACAGGCTCATATTTGGATACCTTCTAATAGCAGCTTCATATATCATGTGTTAGCTTGAAAAACAGCTTCATGTTACACCAGAAAGAAAAGTAGTGAGTGATTCATACTCTCTAGAAACAAAGTTCAAATCTGAAAACCTATAAATGGGGTTATTCTATTATGTACATGTTTGTTGATGCTGAATGAATAAAATAGCAAATCAGAACAAAGTTGAAACTGAAGAGCTGCTGGCAGACGATGCAACTGCTGGCGTGTTGCTGGCATGACAGTGGCAGCAATGGTGTGACCGTTGCCTATCTGCATTTCACATTGTGTAACAAACTGGTACCTTATCCCTCCAGCAGTTTAATTTGGAGGATGACTTCCTGTATTTGATAGACTATGTGTTTCAGTTTTGGTTGCGTAAACCGGAGAGACTGGAAATTTTGGTCATCTGCGAAAGTGTCTCTAGCTCGAAGTACTGAGAGCTCTGATTACATACATCTGTATGAAGTCATGTACTACTACTACCATTACTGTTGTAAACAAAACATAAAATTGAATTTAAAGTACAAATCACACAGTAGTGTATTGTAGGTAAATAGTCTCCCTCCCCTTCAACTTCTCACCTACAAAATCCACCTTCCATTACTCTTGCTCTTTTATTTTATCCACGAGTATGAAAGCAAGAGCGCCTCATTTTAAAGAATAAGCTGCATATTTTTGAACTTTATGTCACAAAAGGAAAAGGCTGCTCTGCTGTTATACTTGGAAGTGTAAACAACAGCCAAAGCGACTGCTCTCAGCGGTCATCTTTACAAATGACAGAGACGATTACATTAAAAAGGCTGGTAACTTTGAAATGCTGCAGCCTGGTTTATTGGAGCCGTCACAGAAGATGCAGGCAAAGCACCAGGCAAGTGGCATGGAATAAAACCAATATCCCGTCACTCCCAGTGATAACACCGAGGGTGTAATTTAGTCTATTAACATACTGCAAAGAAGAAAGAGAAAGGAAAAACCTTCAAAATATTAGGAATAGGAAATAGCTGCAAATATAAGCAGGAATAATTAGTGGGAAAATATTTTGGATTGTTAATAAAAGTGTTTTTAAAATCCTGATTATCATGTGTCTCGTCAGCTAATATGCACACTAGTTTTCAGAAATGCTCATTTACTTTAAGAAATGGCTGCAATAAGACTGAATGGTGCCATGACATATTTCGTATGAGCTGGAGGTGGAGTTGCTTTAAGCAGTTTATACCCCACCTAGGGGAAGGGCAGACTAAATGCTGCAAATGGACAACAGTGCTACTGAATTCAAAGGCACAGAGATCTGAATCCTGTGCTGAGATCATTCACTAAACTGAAGGCCAGGCACTTAGAAGCCACATCATATGATATGATAGGAAGACCCTACTGCTGATGGTGAGGGTCTCACGCATAGAGTCGCACATACAAGAAGGAGGGCAGAGCCTCTGGCACCTCTTGACTTACTAGTTTAACAAGGAGCAGAAACGATGTAAAAGCTCATTTATTTATGTTTCGGTTCATTCTGTCTCATTAACTTACTTTTCTGGTTTTAGATCCCTGTAAATAATTCCAAGACCATGGAGGTGGTCTAATGCCAAGGCCAGCTCAGCTAAGTAGAACTTGACATCCTCTTCTGTAAACATCACCTAGAGGGAAGGAAGAGAAGAACACATCCATTTACTGGGCAGTGGTGGGCTGGCTTGTGTTAAACAGACATGAGGAAGGAATTGCCTAACTCAGGAATGCTGGAAGGACCATCATATCAGGTTCGATTTTCCATAATTTGTCTGAGTTCACATCAACAATTCTTACCAGATTCTTCTTATAAAACAAAACTTGATCTGTCGAGTACTTCTGTTCCTTAAAACATGCTGCTCTCATTCATCTGTTTGATCTGTTTAGATGACATCATGTCGCAATAATATGAATAAGGTTCAAACTCCTTAAGCTTTGGAAATGAATGGCAAAACTCAATACGTTCAGCGCAGCCCTTATTGCTTTCATATCTCTTAATTTGCTAAAATCTTGGCATTTGGTTACCAAATTTCCATTAAATAACATGGGGTAACCTCTTTGGGGAAGTGAAATGCGTCCAAATCTGAGCAGAATACACAGCATGACGAGACTCAGAGATGGATTTAAAACCCTGTGCAGCGAGGGTTCAAAGAATTTCAGTGCAGATGCTCTAAGCAGTGATGTGTTTTCTAAGATCCAGGGCTCGATGAAGTCTAAGCTGAGGGCACTTGTTTCTTTTCTATAGCTGATATGTATACTTCTAACATGGAAAGCTCTGGTTTAGGCGGGAAGACATTTCTGTAATTGAAAAAACACTAAGCTCAAAAAAACAGAGCTCAGACAGCAAGAAACCCCTTTGGTTCAACTTTCATTCTATCACAGATGTTATGAAGTTCACTTTAATTAAATTTTAATATGTACAGCGATAATAATGCAGAAAGAGAAGCTGATATATTGGATACACAAGTGTGACTATGAGTGACAGACGTAAAATGAGTCAGCTCAGTACAAATTTACATGTCATATATAAATGTAAAAATCTACAGTAGAAGTTGCTGAGCTTATTTTTAAAATTAAGCCTCTGCTTTTGGAAAGGGGCAGCCACAATACTTGAGCGCTCTGAGAAGCTGCAGAGGGCTGAAAGCAAAAAGAGAGGATTCAGAGAACAGATATCACATAATTTAATTAAGAATGTCACTCCAAAGACTAGAAAGAAAAAGGATACACAAGCAAAAACTCTGACTAAAAATTTAATTGGTCTGAACATAAAAATTTCATCAATTATCAACATAAATTTAAATTAATTATAAGGTTCAAAATAAATAATGTAGATCAGAGATGAAATCAATAGAATCAAGGAAAATCTAATCTATATAGATACACCCAGCTAAATCAGACATTTCAGAGAAGAGAGAGATGAGCTTTGGGTGCGCACACGCTGTAGTAGAAGGGATCTGACTGAAAGTGTGCTGAATTCAATACTGGTGGACCAAGTCTGCAATTAACAATTGCAAGCAGCACAAATTTTCCCATAATGTCTTCCCTTGTGATGCCTTGCCACTAAAGAGCTGCAAAGTATAGGCAGACAACATGAGCTGCAAACACTGAAAAGAGAAGGATGTAAAAGGACTGTCAAGTTAAGAGGGCTCATTCTCAATAGTATAAAGCAGAGAAGCCTGTGTGTTGCATTGGAAAAGCTTTGGGGAAAATGTGAATTTTTTAAAGGGGTACAAAACCTGAGCTGTTCTCTTTCACTTTCCAGTTCCCTAACTGTGCAGAACGGGTAACTGCCCTCTGTAGGCAAGAATCACTTTTTCTCTCTTCTCCCATGGAACGGGAGAGGCCCTTGCTAAGACAGCATGCTATGTCCTAACAAAGCCTGATTTCATGACAAACAGCAGAAGGATATTTTTATTTAATCTTTTTCCTCATATTAAAAATAACTGCTACCACTTACTGAGTGTTTATACAAGTATCATTACTTGGCAGTGTAATTAACCTGTTGCTAATGTCTTCTCGTATTAGCCAATAAGCCTTGAAACCAAATACTTGGGCTCCCAAGCTGTGATGCACATAAGCCTGCAGCATATCACCAGACCAGGAATCAGATAGGAAAAAGAAAAGCTAGGGAATTTTTGAATGGAAGGACTTTTTTCAGAGCTTTTTTAGTCCATCAGTTACTCCGTGGACCAAGAAGAGCAAACAGAACTTCCCCTCAAGATGGCATTTGAAAAGTGCTTATTTTATCTTTAAACACTGTGTGTTATGTGGATGCTGGCACCCCTGTCCCCACAACCCAGAAAGAGACCAAGGGCTGGGGACATCATGTTGGTGACAGCATGGCCAAGCCTCCAGGGTGGCAAGGCTGCCTTGCTGGGACCTCCTGTACTGCCTGCAGGGCCCTCCCTCAGGCTAAATGCAGGAAGACCCACTGCTTCAAGCAACACAGCCAGCTGGCTTTGGGAGGCATTTGGAGACACAGAAAACTGCTAAATGAACGTAGAAAACCTGCCGCTCTCTATGGGCATCAGCGAGACTCAAGTTTGGACTGTTTCCCAGCTGCCTTTTTCTCCAGCAGCAGCAGCATCTCCCCAGGGCAGGAGCTGTGGAGGACAGAGAAGGGATGGGATCCCAGGGAGGTGATGGAAGCAGCAGCTGTCCCCAGGCAGGCAGGCAGGAGGAGAATCGATGAGGGCTGTGACAGTCAACCTCTAAGCCTTGGAGCAGTGCGTGGCTGTTGACCAGCTCCCAGCAGCTGCTGCAGGAGATGGCTTTTTCCTGGGGATGCCCCAGAGGTGCTCAAGGCCATGTTGGATGGGGCTTTGAGGAACTTGGTCTAGAGGAAGGTCTCCCTGCCCATGGCAGGGGCGTTGGAACTAGATGATCTTAAGGTCCTTTCCAACTCTAACCATTCTATGATTCTTGGCTCTCCAGCTGATGCCCTGCTGTCTGCATGCTTGCTACAGGGGTCAGCCCGTGACCTACGGCCACCTCTTCTTTCTGCTGGCAGCGGTTGTGTTTTTCCAGAGGTTCTGTGCCCGTTTCCAGGGCACAATGTATTGCGGATTGACTGCTCAGACTGTTTCTCATCACATCCAAGATATATTTTGCACGCAATGAGTCTGGGGCTATTTTGCTATGAGAATGGCTTAGTAGTGGTGCAGTTTTCTACAACAGTGATGATTGCGTGCTATCTGTTGCATCCCTATGGTGTGATTCAAATACAATTATTAAGAACACACTTAAAGGTGCAAGATGATACAGCTCTATTACATATATATGGCAGGACTATTTCCAAGGCAATTTTTCATTCCCACCAACTTCGTCTGAATTCTGGAAATGAGGACAGTCTTTCATTTCTAAAGTTCAAATCTATCAGCTTACCTCTTTGGAGAGTCTTGTGAAAAGGTCCCCTCCCCGCAGGAAATCTAGTATTAGATACAACTTTCCCTCTGTTTGAAATGCTGCATTAGAAAAAGATGGAGATGTTGAAAGTTTGAATCAAGATAAAGTCTCTGAAGAATCATTCTCAACTAGCAGTGTATCACTCATGCCATTAGCTTTCCTGTCATTTCAGCACTTTGAGAACAGAAAAAATTAATTTCTCTATAGAACTAAGCAACTGAGCTTAGACTATGGCAAAAACCAGTATCAGCTGAGAGACAACGATGCATTACTGATATATTCTTTTCCATGCTAAGCACCTATGAATTAATATTGCTTTCCATTGCACAGGATACCAGGAGTCACTGAGGGCTAGGCATAGAGAGAAGCTCCCAGGTTTGTGGGAGGGGAGAGCCTGCACTATCCAAAATGTCCTCAGAAGACCCTTTACAGTAATAATGGGGCTCCTGCGGGAGCTGGTGAGGCAGGGGAAGGCAACTCCAGCAAGACACCACATTCATATACACACATATACAAATTTAGACTTGTGCTGGTTATTAATTTTAATTTAGATTCTCTGGTTTTCTAAACAATACCTGACAGCAGTGAGGGGGTTGGCAGATGTATACTCACCAGCTACCCCACCAGCACAATCTATCACGTTAAGACTTTATGACAAATGTATTTTGATGGAGGAATGGCTAAAACCTACTTATACTGAAATTCTCCTTGTATAAATGAAGAATTTCACACAGGTAGCCTCTAAGAATTTGTTAGAGACAGAGTCATAAGTAGGCAGGGGGTATCTGTATGAAATTATAAGACATCTAGTTACAATTCCCCAACAAATTTAAGAACAAACATGAATTATATTGTATTATAGTTACCATAATGAAGCTTCACTATGAAAGGATGATTCACTTCTGCCAAAATATCTCTCTCCATTTTTGATCGTACTCGATCCCGAACTATAAAGAAAGAACAATAAGAACAGCGACAATAAGAGGCAGCATGGTCACTGGATACAGTAGTGGAATGAGGTTCAGGTGATTTGGATTCAACTTCTCACATTGCTGATGGCTTGTGGTGTCACCTTTGGCAAATCCCACCACTCTCTAGTGTCCTCTTTCTCTGCTTTTTCGTCTGTGCAAAGACTAAGCTCTTCAGGAGGGCACCGTGTCTTGCTCTGTAGAGAACTGCCCTAACTAAAAGGACTACATTATTACAAAGAACGGGAAGGTGGTTAGGCTTTGCAGAAGAGAATGCTAATGTGAAAATGAAAACTATACAAAATTAATGACTCTGTCTCATTTAAGATTAAACAGAATGTACTCATTGGGTTAACCTTATGCAGATTAACTTTTTGTATTGTGCTGACGCTAGCAGTGTTTATGAGATATCACTGAATAGCACTCTCTGAAAGTGATTTATATAAAATATTTTAAGCTTCCAATAAACCATCCAAGCAATCAATAATAAAGAATAAAGGCTGATTAAAACCAGTAAAAAACTATTTTTATGTGTAGAGATAAATTATTGTGTGATAGCAGTGAGAAAAATATTTTTTATGGTTGAGATTAATAGAGAGTAAGAGAAAAAGTAGTTACAGAGGTGAGATGGGTTCAAACTAATCAAAACTGATGCTGAGGATTTCATAGCAAAAACATTTAGCAGAATGTTCAGACACTGAGGAGTATTCAGATCCCCACATTATCAGCTCTTGATCTTACAGATTCATTTTTCAGTCAATCACAATTTCACTAATTTCATAATGAAAGCATTGAAAGTTTCTTCTTTTTTTTTTTTTCTGCACTGCACAATGCAAATATGCTGAAAACATCTACAAGGAATGTTATGAAACTATTTTAGGTGGTAAAGCCTGAGATCTCAGTGGGATTCTGTCATCGCCTGCATGTGTTGTGGATCTGCTGAGAAGCTGAATACTCTCAGCACCCAAGTAATGAACATACCATAATGAAGCCACATATTCTGTTGCTGTCCTTCAAAAACTGATGCACAGAAATGCATCCAAACCAGCTGATCTGAAAACCTTAAATAGGAGTGGAGGGACATTTTGATTTCTTGCTCTTTTGATGACTTACGGAGGTCAATAGTGACATAGGTTTTACTAGCTCATTTAACCTAAGGTACTTTGTAGATAAAAATCAAAACAAAGGGAATCTCAGAATCTTAATCTTATCTCACAAGTGAAAAGTCACACATCATACGCCCACGTAATGCTTAACCTATATGAAGGCAGAGCATTTCTCATGCTGTAGATCAGTGATGCTCCCAGGCAGGAATTTTTGTCGGGCAGGTGAGCATTGCTGAATGCTCTACGTGGGACATTTCCTATTAAGCTTGGTTAGATAGCCTAACAAAGTGCCTCTCTGCGCTTGCGCTGCACTGCACAACAGCAGTACCCCCTCCTGTCCCCATCTTTTCAACCTCTGAACAGGTAAAGGCACAGCTCTGCAGCGAAGTGCTCTGCTGAAGCCCCCTGCCCTGTGCCCTGCTCGCTGCTGTGGTGGCCACCACTGTGGCAGTTACAGGCTGTGGACCTGTCAGGGTGCCATGGCACCCTCCTCCCCACATGCATACGGGAAGCACAATGACACTAAAGAAAAGGCTATGTCACCGCAGAAGACACCTCATTCTCTGGAGTCACAGCCCCGTAACCATTCTGAACCTAGTATCCTTCCAAAGCTGCTCTAATCACCACCTTCATGGTGGCTACTCAAAAAGATAACTGGAACCTCTAATCAGGATTACAGCTTGGCACGTGAGCTGGTGACCTGCCCTGCCCATCTTCCAGCACCAAATACTGCCTGACTTAAATGCTCTGAGGGCAGAAGCTATATAGGCTCAGATTTTTATGTAGTCCTACCACCAAAGAACCTGTTAATCATATTCTCTAGAAAGGCAAATCCACTGTCCTTTTCTTACCCTATTACGTTCATATCGCTGGGCCATGCCTGATTTTAACCTCCAAAGTAGCCTGCCTAGAGGTATCTACCTGCTTGCACCAGCTCACATACCACACGGCACTGTCAGAGTTAGTTATTGTACTGTACTGTACATGGATTCTGTACATCCATTGCCATGATATTTAATAAATGTGCAAGGTTAAATCCCTTCTCCTTTCTGGTTTAGTATTAATTCTGTCATGGCAGAAGGGAAAACTTATTTTTTCTTATTCCAGATACACCTGGAAATAGGAATTCCCCTGCTCTTTCAACCTCTTGTATTTTGGCGATTTGGGCAACGTGGGTCTGATATGCACGAGGAAAGGTTTTAAGAAGTGATGGCACTCTGATACAACATTTCAACAGCATAAGGCTCTGGCTCAGTCTGACTCCTCTGTCATCTTCCAGGTATGGTGAGTGGGCAAGTGCCTCTCTCCTGCACTTCAGAGATCTTTTTCTAGTATTCAGTGGCCCAGTCTGCTCCACTGAGAGAGTCTCCCTAATAGTTCTTACATCCTGGCAGTCAGATAATTGGATTAATTTGCTCAAGCATGATCTGAATTAGTTTTGGCTGCTTATTCAGCCTGCTAGATCCTGGCTATGGAGGGATTCCTCCAGCACCATGGGGAGAGACAGACAGGGTCTGAACAGCTGCTGCAGTGCCAGGGATGATGAGGCCTGAACATTAAAGATATTTACTTCTAAACAGATGACCAACCAAAGACGCGTGTCTTTGCTTAGTCTCGTTTGGGGATCAGTGAACATGTACCACCATGAATTTCTGCGCTCATTTCCAAAATAACTGGATTTCTCACCTATTTATAAGGATTCTTTTCTGAGTGAATCCCTTTCCCCTGATGGTATTATCAAAGAACTTCAAAACCAGCACCAAACACCTCAGATAACACCTCTGATAACACCTTTCCCCTGATGGTGTTATCAAAGAACTTCAAAACCAGCACCAGAGCTCAGTTGCCTCAGGGAAGACGACTGAGCACCCCAGTTCAGTACCGCTCAGCACATGGCTGGGCTCTGCCCCCACAGGTACTTGTCTGGCGCTGCGGAACAGCCTCTTCTTCTGCCCACCCCTTGGCAATGACAGGGGATGTGCACCTAAGGCACAGAGGAAAGTGCAAATAACTCAGCTCCCCCATCCTCATTTTGACCACTTGCAGGGGCCTTGGTACAGCATGCAAAGAGGGGAGCGCAGGTGGCTTGGGCAGGTAATGCTTGCTCCAGATATGAGTAAAATGCTCATTGGAAATAGCGCTCATCTGCTAAACTCTTGCCCCTTCTACCCAGTACTGGATTTGGTTTGAGAGGTGGGGTTTGCTACTTATCTTTAAATTACACGTCAGACAGAAGCAGCAAGCATAACCTGGAGCAATGAGCACAAAGTCATGAAAATTGTTTGCATGATCTTGGACAAATTCGTTCTCACTGAAGTAATCCCTGGTGTTACCAGACAAAAGAGACAGACTGGTGGAGCCTGTAACAGTGGAGGAAGCACCTGCTACCCTGAAATAAAAACAGTTCCCATTTCCAGGTATTAATGTGGTAGGAAAGAGAAGTGCAGGCAGCTGAGGATACATGCAAATAAGTAGAGCTTATCCACTTCTGTTTGTCTAGCTCTGAACATCAAAGAGGAGGATGTTACTGCTTACTTTATGTAACACTGAATGCTTAAGGAGTGGGTTTTATTTAAGGTATGAATTTTTCCTTCTTGGGCTGTTTTAATTCTTATAACCATGAAGTATAGAAGGGAAAGGGGAAAAGGGAAAAGTATATTCAGAGCATCTTCCAAGGAGAGGAAAAAAGTTCCTTCTCAATAACAGACTAGCTTTATATTTTCTGAAACAGAAAATAAAACCATAATCCTGCTTCCCTTTATGAAGCTCTCAGAATAGCAAGTTTGGTTGAGATTTAAATATGGAAATATAAATTAAATTTCAGCCAATGAACTTTCTGTCCATATGTCTCACTTGAAAACTAAGAGTCAGTGCATCTCTAAGCTATGTACGCCGTCAAGTAATGATAATCTAGGGACATCCCTTCACGTACAGGCA